CCAGCTGCTCCTTCCACCACGCCAGCAGGTCCTTAAAGCCCTCCTTCATCGCCTTCTCCTTCTCCTTGCTCTTCTTCCCACCGAGCTTCAGATCCTCCTTAGAAGCATTCTGGAACTTCTTATCGTCGAAGTCAGTGAGGTTCTGCATGAGGTACTCGTCCACGGGCTCGGTGAGGTAGAGCACCTCGAAGCCCTTCTTGAGCAGCTTCTCGATGAAGGGCGAGCGCTCCAGCTGCTCGCGGCTGGGCCCCGTGACGTAGTAGATGGCCTTCTGCCCCGGCTTCATGCGTGACACGTACTGCTCCAGGCTCGTCAGCTTCTCTGGGTCGTTCGAGCTGGCAGGGAGAGGGGGAAGAGGTAGGGACAGTGGGGAGGATGGAAAGACTTTGAGGTGGTGTGCTGGGTGGGACGTGGAGATGCGTGGAGAAAGGTTCATGCTTCACACATTTGATTCACCTCCCACCCCCTGAACCCACCCTTACTAAGCCCAGCACTCATACCCCACCATGCAACTGCTAGGGCACCGCACCTCTTGAATCGCAGCAGCTTGGCGAGGCGCATGCGGTTGGACGAGTCCTCAATCACGCCCAGCTTCATGGCGCGCCCAAACTCGCGCCAGAAGTCCTCGTACTGCGTCTCCGCGTCTGATGGCACGCGCTCCTTGTCTGGAGGGATGGGAGCAGGCAGGTGCAACAGGGGAATGGGGTTTCAGGGGGTTGTGAGAGGGGAATGGGAGGCAGGCACGGGATCACTAGTTAAGAAAACTAGTGAGCGTGTAGGCCGGTGACAGCGGGTGGTGGAAGGGTGACAATGGGTGCCACGTTCATACAGCACACGAGGGGGCGGGATGAACGGCAAGTGGGATGGGGCGGGTACTGACCATCCTCGGCAATGCCCTCCTTCTCGCGTTCCTCCTTGGCCTTAGCCTTGGCCTCCTCCTCGTCCTCCGCCAGCCGTCGGATCATATCAAGCGCCTTGCGCACGAGCTTCTTGCGGATGGTCTTGAGGCTGCTGTGCGCCTGCAGCATCTCGCGAGACACGTTGAGTGGCAGCGAGTCGGAGTCGACGAGGCCCTTGAGGAAGTTGAGGTACTTGGGCAGCAGCTCCTCGAACTCCTCGCTGATGAACACGCGCCGCACGTACAGCTTCAGCGCTGCCTTGTTGGCGTAGTAGTTGTCGTACATGTCGTAGGCCGCGCGCGGTGGGATGAAGAGAACGGCCTTGAACTCCACGTCACCCTCTGCGGAGAAATGAGTCCATGAGAGGGGCTTGTCCGTGCTGTAGTCCTGTTGGCGCGAGGGGAGGGAGGGGGGGACAGTGGGGAAGCGGGAGGGGGCAGGGGAGGGGGAGCATGAGGGAAGGGAGCAGGGGATGAGGGGAAGGGCAGCCCGTACAGTATGGCACACATGAGGCAGGGGGCAGGGGGCGGGGGGCTGGGGATCCAGGGGGGCGGGGTTACCTTGGCGAGCGACTTGTAGAATTCGCGGTACTCGTCGTCGGTGACGTCCTTGGGGCTGCGCAGCCAGATGGCCTTGACGCTGTTCAGCAGCTCCCACTCCCACTTGGTGCGCTTCTCCACTCGCGTCTTGGGCTCTGCCAGGCCACCGCCACGCCGCCACGCACGAGGGAGGGAGAGAAGAGCGACTTATTGAAAAGGAACTTATGGGCAACTTTGTGAGAAGGGATGGAAGGAAGGACTTGAAGGGGGGGACTTTGGACGGGAGAAATCTCGAAACAGGCACACGGTGGCATTAGTTGAGAGTGAGAATAGTCGGGTGGGAGGGAAGAGACGTACTCTTCTCCTTGTCCTCTTCCTCCTCCTTCTCCTCGTCCTCCGACTCGTCCTCGCTGTCCTTGTCCTCCTCTGCTCATACCACCATCCGCACAACAAACCGCACACCACCAATCCATGCCCCAGACCCGAAGCCAACGCACGCCACAAAACACATGCGCACACCAATGAGGATCCAGTGAATTCCAACGGCGCGACATGATGGATTGCAGTACCAGCCGCCAGCTGACCATCCCACAAGAAATATCTCTCCAGCTTTCAGAAATCCCATACGTATCGCTCTCCTCGGCCATTCCCAGCGCGAAAGGATCGATATGCGGTTACAGCAAAAGACAAGTTTATGAACAGCTGAGGTGCGTGGGACGCACCTTCCTCGGTCTCCGTGTCCTCCTTGTCTTTCTCGTCCTTGTCTTCCTCCTTCTCCACCTCCTCCTCGTCCACCGGCACCTCCTCGTCCACCTCGCGGCTGCCCCACATGTAGATGGGGAAGTTGATGAACTGCGAGTACTTCTTCACCAGCTCCTGCAAAGGCGAGACGGCGGAGATGGGATCACGACGGGACACAGGGGACACATGGGAGGGACAGCTTAGTGTCATGGCGCCCAACTGGTGTTCACCCGGTGATGTCAATGAGGACGTTCATGACCTGCGAATGCTTCTCTTTTTGCGCGCTGAAACACTATCGCCCACTTCCGCGAATCGAGCTTACAAAGCGAACGCAGGAGCACGCTCCTCCTCTACCTCCTCCTCTTCCTCCTCCTCCTCACCTTAAGGGCGAGGCGGCGAATAAGCTTAAGATTTGCACTGGGATTTGCATGAGAGCGTGCTGGGTATGTACCCAGTGCTTTCCAGCGTCTCAGAACCTTATAGCGGGTACATACACAAACATGGTCCCCTGCTTCGTCCCTCCTTCTCAGCTTGAGCTTATCCTCCGACAGGTACCCGCTCGCCTAGTCCTTGCAATGAATTCGGTATCCGTGTTTAAAAGAGCCTAAAAAAACTTATAACGGGTACACACCTTGAGCTTATCCTCCGACAGGTACTCGCTGGCCTCCTCCTTGAGGTGAATGCGGATCTCCGTGCCGCGCCCCAGCGGCTCGTCCTCCTCCGCGTCGTCGGGATACACCTCAAAGTTGCCGTCGGCGGCGCTGGCCCACACCCACGCGGAGTCGTCGTTGTGCTTGGAGCGCACCTCCACGCGGTCGCCCACAAGGTACACGGAGTAGAACCCCACGCCGAACTGACCGATCAGGTTGATGTCGCCGCTCTTCTGCATGCGCTCCAGGAAGGCTGCGTGGCGACACACACGGAATAGAGCAGGAGGTACGAGGTTAAGGGTCAGACGTAATTTATGCATCCTTGCATTCCTACCGCTTTACCGTAAATTTGATAAACATTTACATTCCACGGTGGCCTTGCGAGACCACATTGCAAGCACAGAATTCGGCCGATCGCGTGCGAATAACCTAGGAGGAGAGTCGGCGGGAGGAAGTCTCACCTGACGTGCCGGACTTGGCGATGGTTCCAAGGTTCTTGATGAGATCGTCCTTGGTCATCCCGATACCGCGATCGCGGATCGACAGAATCTTGCGATCCTTGTCCAGCTTGATCTGCGCGCATCCAACGGTCACGATGAGCGCAGTGAGCAGGGGGGGATTAGAAACCATGCGAGAAGCAGCAACAACGCAAGGATAGGAAGGACTGCAAGGAGTAATATCAATGTGCGGATGAGGAACAATGCGCACACTAAACGCACGGACAGGACAGCAGATGAAGAGAGATTGGCAGGGTAGAGGTGGCGCGGCGCACCTGGATCTCGAGCTTGGTGTTGTCGCCCTCGCCCAGGATGGACTTGTCCGTCAGCGACAGGAAGCGAATCTTATCCAAAGCCTGAACACACGCGACATGGCACCAGGGGAAACGAGTAAACAAGAATGAGCGTCAGTGTTTCCCTGTTGTTGTTTTGTACTTCATAGATCAATGTATCAAGCTCAAACTGGTAGTTTAAAAAAGGAACATTGACGCGGGAGTGGAGAGGCACTGACGTCGGAGGCGTTGGAGATGAGTTCACGGAGGAAGACGTCCTTGTTGCTGTAGAGCGAGTTGATGATGATGTCCATCAGCCGGTGCACCTCCGCCTGGAACTGGAACTTCTCGCCCGACCGTCGCATCGAGCTCTTCTCCCTGCCGCATCGCCACCCCGCGTCGCATCAGAACGGCATTGAATGTAAATGCTGGAGATGTATTACATTGGCCAGAAACGCTGCTGAGGTAATAAGGATTGAGTATGCGCACCTCTCCTGGGTTTGGGTGTCTGTGGTCGATCCAGTAGGGACGGCTCCAATCGGCTCCTCGACCTTGGGAAGATCGCCATTGGTACCCACGTCCTTTGTCTCCTCTGCCTGCACTTGCGGCGCAGCTGCAAAGAGAAATGGAAACGCAATTTGAGCTTATTTTCCAATGCGGATACATGCAATTAAGAGCTTACGCTATGCTCGAAAGTACCTGAGAGCGTCTGGAATACAAGGAGGAACGCAAGGAGCGCCACAAGGCAGCTCCGCGGAGCCATTCTTAGGCCGGCAATCTGAACGATTAGCTTTCAGAAGCGAATGGATGAACGAAGATCCTTGAAAGATGCGAGGACGAAAGAGAGGAATTTGAGTAACAGGGAGAGGAGAGGAGAGGAGATTGGGAGATGATGGTGATGGGAGTGGAGAGGAGGATCACTGCCTTTGGATGAGGCGAGGCTCGCGACTGACGGTATCCGAACGAATCGCAGAAGCACAGAGACGACGTCCAGAAGGTCGGTCAATGCCGTTTCGTTTGCAGCTGGTCGTTCACGATTGGCCGGACGTGGGGTGACGAGGCAAACCTTGACGTTCTAGAAGGATATGCGACGGCTAGCGGTTACCAGACTTTGAGTTCGCAGAAGGGGAGCTGACAGTTCCTGGGGAATTGTTTCCCGCCTGGCTTCTCGAGGGTCAGATCGCACAATTTGATTGGTTTATGGCACTTATTTGACGTGGCGTCCAGCCAGGACTCAAAAGCTCAACTTCTGGACACCAATGATTCGATACAGGTGAACTGCATTAAAATAAGCGCATGTTGTTGAATAATCTTGTGGCTTATTATTTTATTATTTAGAGGACAACTTCGTGGGCCATCAGAACTTGACTGCCCATTATCCCCCCATTCCACGCCATTCACTATGTCGACTATTCATTTTCATGAGCGGCCATTAAGTATCGCGGCTCGACCATCACTTTCAACCCACAGACACGTTCGTCCGTCTGCTGTTTTCCTCGGACCTCGAACTGTCAATGGCGGGAAAGAAATCACTTTGCGGGAACGTAAGCTGGCAAGAGCCCGTAACCAGTTTCCGCTGCAAGTAAGCCGAGGAGGTCAGGGGAATCGCGTGCACTGCTCCGCGACTAATAACGGGCAGTCCTCAACAGCTGCGGGCGCGGAAGACTGGGTGGCGCGGTATGCGGACGCTCTCAGGCTGCTGCCGCTCGCAGCAGGGGCGGCGGGCGGAGCGGTGGTGCTGGTGAACCGCGTGGTGTGGGGCATTCCGGCCGTCGCTGACGCGGGCAGGTGAGAGAAGCTCCTCGCTGCTTTTGTGCGCGTGTCGCATCCCCACGTAAGTGGAGTCCACCGCGCCGTTTCCCAGTGCGCGCCTCCCCCCTTTCCCCCACTCCGCCATTCCCCTCACTGCACGCCCCTCCGGTCACCTCGCGCCATCCATCCGTTCCCCTTCCTTCGCCTGCCGTTTCTCTGCCAGCGCGCAGGCACGTGCTGACGTCATCTGCCTGGTCCTGGCCGCCTCTATGGTGCTGTCAGGCCTGTCGTGGCTGGCGCTTCGACCCAAACCACAGACCCCGGTATAGCCCAACCCTGCCAGCGTTGTAAGGCTTGATCTAGTGATGGGAGGAATCTACACGTGTTGCAAACAGTAGCGGCCTTTCCTGCTGTAATGAGTTACTAATTCTTCTGCCTCTTTTATTCAGTCTAACCTGCAGTGCTTCCCTTCCTGGAATGTCTTCAGGTGGTCCTTAATGGTGTTCCCTGCCACCGCATGCTGCCGTCCCTGCCTCAACCCGTTCAACAAGAGTTGAACTGGCACGTGCGCCTTCCCTCATCTACATTCTACAGTTCATTGAAATAGTGCTTGAGCATATTCTACAGCCCCACCGTTTTCCAGCCCCACCGTTTTCCATAATCTCACCTTGGAGTGGTCGTATTAGTCACCTTCTTTGAATTGTCCCTCTGTTTTCCATCTCAGGGCATGGACTTCTCTCAATTTCAACACCCCCTGCTGTTCACTAGTCATTATTTTCAAGGGGCAATGTATTCTGCAAGTAGGCAGCATGACTCCAGCACCCAACATGCCTGGTGTCACTACTGCTGCTACAGTGGATGCTGAGAAGCTTCTTTCGGGCTCCATCTGTTCCACGGTTCTCAAGTCTGGACGCCGTATGTTCACACTAAAGGATTGTGGATTGTTGGGCGGTTATCCACTTATCGGAATTCATTATTTTCTTCTTCACCACCCTCACCCCTGTGTTTTTCTCTATTGAGCAGCAAACTATTTAGCTAACCTCATTTTGTTTCCAGCAAGATACGAGCTCTTTGAGTTCCTTCCAGACAACACGCAGGTGAGCTCTTTTTGTCACTGCTCCCTTTGATGCCTGTATTTGGCGCGTATGCACTATAATTTTGCTAGCCCATGCAAATAAAATGTCCTACAGGCTGCAATAGTACAACCTCTAGGGGATGGAGACGGGGTGATTGTTATGGGCAGCGATACAATCAGAGGCTTCACACCTCTCCATCAGGTGTGGACAGAAGGAGCATTAATATACTTGTTTATTTGCTTCTAGATTTGTTCAAGTTTCTTGGCCTCGTATTCGTATCTATGGAATTGCTTCTTCCTCTTTTCGGCCACAGGTGTGGCTTGGGAGCATTGCAGAGAAGCTAGATGCATCATTGTCAGCACTCCTGGAGCAGGGTTGATTGTAGTGCACACTACGTCTGCAAACAGGATAGCTGTAGAATTCAGTAACACCTCCATTGGAAGACTCCCTATCATACGGTACATTGGATAAGTTGTTTTATTATAAACCATAATCTTTCTGTAACTGACCATCAAGCACATTGTAACATTCAACTTGAACTAGGGCACATTCAGAAAACTGGGGTGTCTTCATCCTTGGACTTACTAGCTGGTGCGGGAGCATCTGACGCTGTCTTGGTCGCTTCTGCTGCCGCATCAACAGGCGACGCATCTGGGGCAGCTGGAGAAGCATCGGCTACAGTGTTTTTGGCAGCTGCTCCCTCCGTTTCAGGCTCGACTGGCTTGGCTGCTTCGCCCCCATCCTTGCTTCCCTCCGTGGAAGCGGCAGCATCTAGAGATGCCTTCGCCTCCCCTTCAACAATGTTTGATATCTTGGAAGTGACACCCATGACGAAGTCCTTGCTGGAGGCAATGAGTTTATTCTGCACCAAAATCTCTCCAGCCTCGTTCAGCTTTGTCTCCGCAGCCACAAACGCCCCTCTGGTGGTCTCAGACAGGTGCAGCTTTTCATCAACGACACTCAAGGACTTGGCCAAGGCTCCTGTCCCTGCTTTGAAACTCTGTGAGATGTATAGCCTCTTGTCGATAGTATCAGCAGTGGCTGCAACGCTTGATCCAACAACTTTAGCTCCCTCTGAGACTGTTGATCCAACAGCCTTAGCACCCTCTGCCATTGTAGAGCCCACCACCTTGGCTCCTTCTGAGACGTTGGTGCCAACGGTTTTGGCTCCTTCAGAGATTGTGGATGGCAGGGCGACGATGCCATCACGAATGGCAGCAGTACCTGCAGCAGCAGAGCTAGAGAAAGCCAGCCTAGCATCCAGGTCACGGGCGCGCTGCATAGCGTCTTGAGCGAGGGTGTATCCTCGAGATAAGAGAGAGCGAACCATCTCTTGAGCTGCTGTGGCAATGTTGGTCGCTGGGCTACTCGGAGTTTCCTGAGAGTGTCAGGAACAAGAATGTTGGTAAGTTTCGATATCGTATATCAAAGTGAAGGTCATGCGCTCTCTCTCATCGTTGTGTTAGTGTAAACAAGTGGATGAAATGCGTGCCTACCTTCCCTTCTCCCTTGGATGTATCATAAAACTTCGCCGTGCTGGGAGGTTCGTAGTCTGTTGCTGGCTCCACGATTACGACCTTGTCCAAGATCATGGCACCCTGACACACGGGATTGACAGACGGATGAACGAATCAATCGACGCTATCAACACGCATCACCACACTCGGGATTACTGAACGCGGAAAGTGGGTGTACCAACGCGAAAGACTGTGGAATCCTACCGTCAGCAGTAGAGCAGTCTCCATCGACTTTTGCTCGGAGAATGTCACATGAGCAGTCTGTACGTCACCCTCCGCACTGCCAACGCGAATCACAACATGAAGCCGCACCATGAAATAATAAGTATCTTCTACTTTATGTTGATGAAAGGTATACTGGTGCGCGTCACTGTTGACAGAAGTGAAAGTTCAGGGACGTGACGTGTTTCACACATACTCTTTCTCAAGATTAATGCTTTCGATGGGTCCGGAGAACGAGAAGAAATCGTAAATGTCTTGAAGTGCCGCCTTGTCTGTAATTCCAGTCACCTTCACAGAGATCTGCAACGAGTGAGAGAGATTAGTTAGCACAAATACCGACGAGATTCTTTTCCAGGAAAAAAGTCAATCCTCACCCCCATTGCGACGATGAAACACTATCGATAAACGCTGCAATGTATCGCGGCCACGAATCCAATAAGCCAGCACCAGAGGCGTTTAACTTAATCCTCGAGATGGCGGTGTTGGGGAAGCAGACTATCCTTGGACTTGGAACTACAAGCAGCTAGTTGGAATCTGCGAGGATCCCTTGAGGTTGTTCTACGGGTCCCTCATCTGAAATCGCTTGGTGCTTCTTTGCTCACGCCAGCAGAGGGAATTCCACAGATCTGCGTTTTAGCTGATCGCAGTACAGCGGTACAGAATGCGAGATAACTGTATATCAGTACACAAACACCAGCTTACTTTCAAAGGAGAAACTTTAATGTCAAATAAATGGAAAGCTAACAGAATATCATTAGATGAAGATCAATGAAAAATATACACGATGATTTAATCAAAACACAGTATATGAGATGTTATGTTGAATGATGGCCCATATGCTGTAAGTTTTGCTGGGCTATTATCTGCCATTCAGTGAATATGCTGCTGGTATTCAAAGTTGAAACGATGTAGCGCAAACAGGGTCTGCCCTCAACAATGAAGACCAAGGAATCACTCGCGCTTCGGCTTGTGGACTGAAAACCATCTCACCGCCGCTGACGAGCAAAGAGGAAAGCAGCACAGGCAGATCTGTCCGTCACCGTCACATCATCACTCCACCCCCCTTATCCATTTCAAGTTTATCCATTTCCAAGCTTAGCCATGGCTGCTAATGCTTCTACACTTCTTCTCGCCCTGATTATCCTCGCGACTATCTTGCCGGTAGCGCTCACCACAGAGGACCAAGCGAGAGATGACGACAGTCCTCAGCTTCCCGATATTCCGGACGGCGATGACGGTGACATTGTGAATTTGAGCGAGGCGTCGTTTAACGAGGCACTGAGGCAGCACGAGTACGTTCTCGCGTTGCTGTACAACAGCTCGTGCCCGCGATGCAAGAACTACATGGTCCAGGTGAGCCAGCACCGCAGCGATGCAAAAACTACTTGGTCCAGGTGAGCCAGCACCGCAGCGATGCAAAAACTACATGGTCCAGGTGAGCCAGCACCGCAGCGATGCAAAAACTACATGGTCCAGGTGAGCCAGCACCGCAGCGATGCAAAAACTACATGGTCCAGGTGAGCCAGCACCGCAGCGATGCAAAAACTACATGGTCCAGGTGAGCCAGCACCGCAGCGATGCAAAAACTACATGGTCCAGGTGAGCCAGCACCGCAGCGATGCAAAAACTACATGGTCCAGGTGAGCCAGCACCGCAGCGATGCAAAAACTACATGGTCCAGGTGAGCCAGCACCGCAGCGATGCAAAAACTACATGGTCCAGGTGAGCCAGCACCGCAGCGATGCAAAAACTACATGGTCCAGGTGAGCCAGCACCGCAGCGATGCAAAAACTACATGGTCCAGGTGAGCCAGCACCGCAGCGATGCAAAAACTACATGGTCCAGGTGAGCCAGCACCGCAGCGATGCAAAAACTACATGGTCCAGGTGAGCCAGCACCGCAGCGATGCAAAAACTACATGGTCCAGGTGAGCCAGCACCGCAGCGATGCAAAAACTACATGGTCCAGGTGAGCCAGCACCGCAGCGATCCTTGAATCGACTCAGGGAACGCACGAGCAGGGGGGCGGCACGAGGTTGATTGCGCGCTGCAGCCGCGGTGCCTACCTCGTCGTGCACGTACCGCCAAGTGCGCGGTGGTCCTAGATGAAACGCTTCCACTTTGCCCTCCGCCCGTCCGTGTTGTAACGTCCACACAGGTTTTCCGCCTACTCTTCGCATTCCGCGCCCCCCGATCTCCTCAGACGCGCCCCCTGATTCTTACATCCCCCACCCCTCGCTCCCCACACCCCCCTCCCCCTCCCCCACCCCGCAACCATCCTCCCCGCCCTTCCTCCCCCCCGCAGCTGCGCGAAGCGGCGGAGGCCCTGAAGGAGGCGGGCGGGGGGGTGTTGGTGGGCAAGGTGGACGCGCTGAAGCACGCGGGGGTGCTAGAGAAGGCGGTGGCGGAGGGCGCTGGGGACGACGGTGAGCCGCCGCTGTTCGTGTGGGCGGAGAAGGGCCGCCTGCAGCCGTGCGACGAGTTCCACAGGTGAGCGGGATGACCATCGAGTTTACTTGAATGACTGTTGAGTCGACTTAAAGCCATTTTGAGCTGTCTGAAATGCCGTACGAGTGTGTCCCACAATGGCACTGCGCCGGCTCTTCATCCTCGTGGAGAGGAAAGTCGCACGCGTTGCACTGCTCACTCTTTCCTCTCGCGTCCTCTCCGCGTGCCACCCACCCCTCTCGCAGCGAGGACGTGGTGGCGTGGGTGACGCGGAAGAGCGGGCGCAGCGTGGCCGTGCTGGAGCCTGCATCGCCCTCCGACCTGCCCTCTCTCGACTCGCTGCTCGACGACTCCGTCACTGCACTCGCCCTTGCCCTCGTGCATGACACTCAGGTGAGCATGAAACGCAGGTGAGCTCAAGGGAACCCAAGGGAACCCAAGGGTACCCAAGGGAGCACAAGGGAGCATAAGGGAGCATAAGGGAACCCAAGAGGAGCATCCAGGTGTGAGTCATCAAAAGTCACACCCCCCCCTCTGTGCACGTCCAACTTTTACCCCCACTCCAAGGGCACAGCAGCAGCAAAGTTCAGGGGCGCGTCCAAGGACGTGGAGGGCGTGCGGTTGTTAGGCGACTCCAAAGCCGCCGTCCTCCTTCCTCCCCGTCCTGCTTCCCCCCCACTGCCAGGGCGCGGCAGCAGCGGAGTTCAGAGGCGCATCGAAGGACGTGGAGGGCGTGCGGTTCGCGCTCACCACGCACGCTGCAGTGGCCGCCGCGCTGGGCTGGCAGGGCGACGCTGCTGCTGCTCTGGCGAGCACAGGCGCGGAGGGGGGCGTGGTGGTCGTGCTCAAGAGTAGAACCGACACCTTCCTGCAGTTCGGTGCGTTGCTCGCCGCCCATCCCCACGCGTCCCTGCTTCCCCGGGCGTGCGGTGCAGTGTATGTGCATGCGGTGCAGTGTATGTGCGTGTGGTGCAGTGTAGTGCGTGCGGTGCAGTGTATGTGCGTGTGGTGCAGAGTAGTGCGTGCGGTGCAGTGTATGTGCGTGTGGTGCAGTGTAGTGCGTGCGGTGCAGTGTATGAGCGTGCGGTGCAGTGTATGAGCGTGCGGTGCAGTGTATGAGCGTGCGGTGCAGAGTATGAGCGCGCGGTTCAGCGTATGAGTGCTCGGTGCAGAATATTTGCGGGTGGTGCAGCGTATGAGCAAACAGTGCTGCGTATGAGCGTGCGGTGCAGCGTATGAGTGGGCGGTGCAGCATATGAGCCAGCGGTGCAGGGTATCCCTGCCGTCCGTCCCTGCCGTCCATCCCTGCCGTCCATCTCTGTGTACCCCCTCCATCAGAGGGCGAGGTGACGCGCGGGGCGATAGCGGAGTTCGTGCATGGCAACAGGCTGCCCCTGTTTGTGCACATGGACGATGCTGCTGCTGAGCAGTTTGGGAAAAACACCAAGTGGCACGTGAGTGGTGGGGATGGCAGGGGTGGCGGCTGAGGGCTTGTGAGTGGCAACAGGCTGCCACCCTTTGTGCACATGGACGGTGCTGCTGCTGAGGAATTCGGCAAAAAAACCAAGTGGCACGTGAGTGGTGGGTTAGGAGTTGAGGGAAGGCAGCACAGGGCATGTGAATTGGTGCATGGCAGCAGCAGGTTCATTCCACGGGCATGGCAACAACAATATCATTCCACGGGCATGGCAACAACAATATCATTCCACGGGCATGGCAACAACAATATCATTCCACGGGCATGGAAACAACAATATCATTCCACGGGCATGGCAACAACAATATCATTCCACGGGCATGGCAACAGGCTGCAGTGCAGTTCTTTGTACACATGGACGATGCTGCTGCCCAGCAGTCCGGGAAAGACAGCAAGGGGCATGTGAGCAATGGGGCGGCAGTGGGGGGGGACGAACAGAGCTTGTGAGGGAGTGGTGGGGCGCACAGGGCTTGTGAGCTGAGAAGGATAATGAGTCACAAAAGTGGCTGGCTGCTTTGCCATGTCGCTCATTCCTCCCATGTCTACCCTTGCTATTGGCTTATCCAATCACACCTTTCATCCGCCCATTCCTCCCCTCCGCCCATGCCTCTCCTCCGCCCATGGCTCCCCTCCGCCCATGCCTCTCCTCCGCCCATGCCTCTCACCGCCCACGCCTCCCCTCCGCCCATGCGTCCCTCCCCCCCTTGACAGATCGTGATCTTCTGCCCGCGCACCAACTTCCCTCACTTTGAGGAGTCTCTCACTCCCCTCGCCAGGCAGCACGTGGGCAAGGTGAGCACGTGGGCAAGGTGAGCACGTGGGCAAGGTGAGCACGTGGGCAAGGTGAGCACGTGGGCAAGGTGAGCACGTGGGCAAGGTGAGCACGTGGGCAAGGTGAGCACGTGGGTAAGGGGTGGGATGCAAAGAATCGCATGCAAGAATAAGCCTCTGCTCCATCCCATGTACCGCAGCTCATCCGTTGCTGACATGCATGCCTTGCAAGCATGCCCTGCACACATGCCCTTATGCATTCCCTGCATTCCCCCCCATTCCCGCCAGCTGTTCTTCATGATGGTGGACTTCAGGGATGAGGACACATCAGGGCAGCCCATGGACTAGTTCGCTCGTTCCCATGCACACCACCTCACCCCTCCCTTGCCTGCATGTTCTGCATGCCCTTCACTCCCTACACGCCCCATCAGGTGTTCTTCATGATGGTGGACTCCAGGGATGAGGACACATCAGGGCAGCCCATGGACTACTCTGCTATCTCCCATGCCCAGCATCCCGACCCCTCCCTACTTGCCTGCATGCCCCCCACCCCTGCAGGTGTTCTTCATGATGGTGGACTCCAGTGATGAGGACACATCAGGGCAGCCCATGCACTACTTTGGCATTCACAAGGTTGAGACCGCAGTGCTGGCTGTGCTCTTTCAAATTCATGGCACCTCCCCCCCTTTGCACGCACGTGCTGCACATGCGCCCTGCATGCCCCCCTGCAGGTGTTCTTCATGGTGGTGGACTCGAGTGATGAGGACACATCAGGCCAGCCAATGGACTACTTTGGAGTCCGCGAGGGCGAGACGGCTGTGCTGGCTGTGGTCTCATACACGGAGGAGGGCGAGCATCACGAGACCAAGCACCGCCTCGCAGGGGAACCTACTCTTTCTAACATGCAGGTGCGCTCGCCTGCTTGTGTGCCCGGCATTCACTTATGCGAAACCTTACAAGGCAATGGTGTGGGCTGTTTTCTCCCACACCCAAGTGGAGAGCATCACGAGCCCAAGCACCGCTTGCCAGGGGAACCCACCCCTGCCAACGTGCAGGTGTGCCTGTCTGCACGCTCATGTGCTCCGCCATGTCCTGCCAAGTGCCTCCTTGAAACACAACTCACGCGTCCCCTTTCTCCCTTCTCTCCTTCCTCTCTCCCACCCTGCGGTTCCCCCTCGCCGAACCAGGAGTTCATAACAGCCTTCTTGGCAGGTGAACTGCCGCCCTACTACAAGTCCGACCCTGTGCCTGACCAGGTGCGTGGCCCCATGGCCCGTGGGGCAGGTGTGTGTGGCAGGGAAGGTGAGTGCTGTGCGCACGTGCATGGTGAATGCTGTTTGAGAGTTGGCAAGATTCCTACGTGGCAGGTGAACTGCCGGCCTAGCACAAGCACGACCCCATCCCTGAGGAGGTGCGTGCCCGTGGGGCAGGTGTGTGGTGTACGCTGATTGACAATCCACATTTCACATTCCAAGACAACCTTCTTGGTGGGCGACCTGCTGCCCGAGTACATTTGGTGTGAGCGGCCACGTGTGATGGAGTGGCCATGATGCATGGCAAGTTTTGAGGCGCCTCAAAGGCCACGTGTGATGGAGTGGCCATGATGCATGGCAAGTTATCATAGTCATGCATCTGTGCTCACCCATGCTTCCACTCCCCCCTTCCCTCTACACATGTGCGCCCGCCCTCCCACCTTCCTCCCCACGCCCTCTACCCCGCTACCCTGCTCTCGCGGGGCAGAACGATGGGGTGGTGCGCACAGTGGTGGGCAGCACGTTCAACGAGATTGTAATGGATGATTCCAAGGACGTCATGCTCATGGTGGGTGCAAGGTGGTGCTGCTGGATGCAGTGTGGTGGTGCTGGGTGAGTGGTGGTGGTGCGTGGGATGTGACCTTTGCAGCGACTCAACAGTGGTGGGCAGCACGTACTACGAGCTTGCGATGGAGGTGGTTGTGGCAATGGGTGAGGGATGGTGATAATGGGTGGGTGATGGTTGTGCTGGGCGAGGGATGAGGGGGGGGGGTGTCAAGAGAATGCTTTTAAAATGGGAAGGATTGACATGGTGCCATGCCATGCCATGCTGTGCCATGCATGTGCATGTGTGCGGACAAAGCAAAGGCTGTACAGATTACCACTACCATTACCATTACCATTACCATTACCACTATCATTACCATTATCACTATCATTACCACTACCATTACCACTAACATTATCATCACCATTATCATTACCATTACCATTACCATTACCATTACGGTTACCACTAACATTATCATCACCATTACCATTATCATTACCATTACCATTATCATTATCATTACCATTATCATTACCATTACCACTACCATTACCACTGCCATTACCGTTACCATTACCATTACCACTATAATTACCATTACTATTCCCATTACCATTAAGAGCTTGCACGCGTGCAAAACCTCAAAAAGCTCGCATCCCCCACACCTTCCCAATCCGCCTCTCCGGCCTACATGCATGGGCAGCGAGTTTTACGGACGAGTGTCCGTCATGTGACTAACTGCTGCCACACGTCTCGCATCCCCCCCGTCCCAATCCCCAACTCCACCCCACCTCCCTCGCCCTTGCCATGGCAGCTAAGCTTTTCAGACGAGTGCCCCTCATGTGACGAGCTGTTGCCGCACTTCACGCGTCTGGCGGAGCGCCTGAGCGGCCGCCCCTCACTGCTCTTCGCTGCCATGGACTATGCCTCCAATGAGGTGCCGGGGCTCGAGGTCAGTTGCCCTCGTGCTTGGCTTGGAGGTCAGTTGCCCTCGTGCTTGGCTTGGAGGTCAGTTGCCCTCGTGCTTGGCTTGGAGGTCAGTGCGTGTGCGCCTCTCTGCTCAGCGCGACAGCGCTGACTGCTCCATCCAGGTCAATGCACCCTTGCTACTCTATGCCCCCGCGCTGCTCGTCGCCACCACAGACTTGGCCTCAAACGAGGTGCCGGGCCTCGAGGTCAGTGCATAAGCCCTGCGGCGGATGACCTTGGTGTAGAGACCAAGCTTAAAGATCACTCAGAAGCTTCCCCCTTCCACCCCCCCACCCCTCCGCTTTCCCCTCCCCCACATGGCCATCAGCTGGTACGCTGATGCTGATGCTGATGTTGATGCTGATGCTGATGCTGATGCTGATGCTGTTGCTGATGTTGATGCTGATGCTGATGCTTATGCTGATGCTAATGCTGATGCTGATGCTTATGCTTATGCTTATGCTGATGCTGATGCTGATGCTGATGCTGATGCTTGTGCTGGTACGCTGATGCTGATGCTGATGCTGATGCTGATGCTGATGCTGATGCTGATGCTGATGCTGATGCTTATGCTTATGCTGATGCTGATGCTGATGCTTATGCTTATGCTTATGCTGCTGCTGCTGCTGATGCTGATGCTGATGCTCATGCTCATGCTCATGCTGATGCTCATCCTTATGCTCATCCTCATGCTCATCCTCATGCTCATCCTCATGCTCATCCTCATCCTCATCCTCATGCTCATCCTCATGCTCATCCTCATGCTCATCCTCATGCTCATCCTCATCCTCATGCTCATCCTCATCCTCATCCTCATCCTCACGCTCATCCTCATCCTCATCCTCATCCTCATGCTCATGCTCTACCCAGCTGGCAGCAAGAATCACCGTCCCACTCAAAACTCCTTCCCCCTTTGTTCTTACCTCCGTTCCTATTCCCTCCCCCCCCATGGCCATCAGCTAGAGGCGTTCCCAACGGTCATGCTCTACCCGGCCGGCAGCAAGTCCCAACCAGTAAGCCCCCGTCTCGTGTGCCTCCGTGTGTCCTCTCGTCCTTGCTCTTGCCACCTCGCCCACATGTTGCTCTTGCCACCTCGCCCACATGTTGCTCTTGCCACCTCGCCCACATGTTGCTCTTGCCACCTTGCCCACATGTTGCTCTTGCCACCTCGCCCACATGTTGCTCTTGCCACCTCGCCCACATGTTGCTCTTGCCACCTCGCCCACATGTTGCTCTTGCCACCTCGCCCACATGTTGCTCCTTTGCGACTTTGGAATTCATCAACTGCGTTAATCGATCGCCATGTCTCTTCCTTGCTGTAACACCCCTTTCCCCCCACCCGCATGTGATTTCTTTCCTCACTACCCACATCCCCGACCTCTCACCTCTCGCTGCCCCCCATTCACTTTCCCCTCTCCCTGCTGTATGGAGCCCCCTCAGGTGACAGAGAAGACCAGTTGGTGCGGGGGAAGCACATGGTGCTCTCTCGCTCATACTGCCCTCTCACCTCCCACTGCCTCCTATGCATGCCCCATTTCCCCACATCCCCCCCCCCCCCCCCTCCTTCCCCCCTCCCTCCTTCCCCCCTCCCTTCCCCCTCCTCCTTATTGCTGTGTGCTGCCCCCTCAGGTGACAGTAGAGGACAGGCTAGTGCGGTGGAAGCACATGGTGGGCACACTCAGGAAGCATGCTGGCACTGCACTGCACCTGCCTGAAGACCTGGAGGAGGAGGTGGAGGAGCAGGGAGAGGAGTATGAGAAGCAGAGGAGGAAGGAGGCTGCAGCGGAGCAGGCAATGCGAGAAGCAGGAGACGTGAAGGACGAGCTGTGAGGCTGGCAGGCAGCGAGAATGGGCCGTGGGCGAATGGTTGAGACAGGGAGGCTGAGAGGTGAAGGAACGAGAGTGTTGAGACGCGGAGCCCATTGGCGCGTGTCACGAGCATTCCATTCCATTGTGACGGTTGAGTCCAACCCAAAGGTGGCCTTGGTGGAGCAAGAGAGAGTTGAGAGGGCCAGTGGCTGCTGACCCAGCACACATTCCGCTGCTGTGTGATGCGGTGGGGAGAAGCAATAGAAAAAAATGTGATGCCTAGCCTGCTTTCCCTGCTTTGCCACAGCCACACAACCGTTCATTTTGGCAATAACAGTCAACGTGGAACCCTCACAATGCTGCCCTGCCTACAACAATTTTGGCGCAGAAATTGCAATCCAATAACAAGCAGGGAACACATTCCAATACACTCTACGCCATTGACCATGCATCTACTGTATGCTCCCTCCAGCCTGGCACTGCTCAGGCATGCTACATTCTATCTACTTGCCATGGCCCTTGATCTCCCCTGCTATGCCGTCTGCCAGCCCCTCTGGCGTGTGATTGCGGCCAAAGAACTTAACAAACTCAAACTCCGGACTCATCAAATACCTGAGGGTAAGAGAGTGGTGGGGGGAGAGAGGAGATTGGAGGGGGTTGGTGAGGATGGAAGAAAGAGAAGACAGGAAAGGCGGCAATTGTATGGAAATAGAGGTGACAAGTGGCAGATGCAAGGCAGCAGGGGTGCGCTCAATCAATGAGGATTTTGTGGCCCTCTTCCTCTGTCTCCATGTGGTAACCACATGGACAGAGAGGTAGGTAACAGACTTGCGAGAAGCAGATGCAAGGCAGGAGGGGTGCTCACGAGATGATGGAGTGATCGACGAGGTAGTCGTACCCCTCCTCCTCTGTCTTCATGTAATACACTCGGAATGCACGTGCTGCTGCTTTCACCTGCCACCAGCAGCCCATGTGCATGGTGCGGGGAAGGTGAGGGAGGGGGAGAGCAGGAGCAGGTAAACAACCATGAAGAAATCACCTGACGTACCACAATGAAACGTGCTGCACGGTCACTATAAAACATGCTGCATGCCTGAAGCATCTAATGGCAAGATACCAGCAAGGCCACCCACCTGTTCTGGCGTGCCTGTGAGGCCGATCATTCTCGGGTGGAACTCTGCAGTGGGATGAATGAGCAGGGGAGCAAGGGGTGCAATGGGAGCAAGGCAGGAACAGGAGGAATGATGAGAATATAGGAACGAGAAGCATTGAAGGAGGTGTAAGGAGGTGCAGGTAGTTTCAAGGAGGTGCAGGAGGGTGAACGTGCAGAGGGGTGAACGCGCAGAGGGGTGAACGTGCAGAGGGGTGAACGTGCAGAGGGGTGAACGTGCAGAGGGGTGAACGTGCCGAGGGGTGAACGTGCAGAGGGGTGAACGTGCAGAGGGGTGAACGTGCAGAGGGGTGAACGTGCAGAGGGGTGAACGTGCAGAGGGGTGAACGTGCAGAGGGGTGAACGTGCAGAGGGGTGAACGTGCCGAGGGGTGAACGTGCCGAGGGGTGAACGTGCCGAGGGGTGAACGTGCCGAGGGGTGAACGTGCCGAGGGGTGAACGTGCCGAGGGGTGAACGTGCGCACCTCCTTGACCTGCTCCGTGGTGTCTTGCTCAGGGGCTCCACCGATATCTACACCGGTGGTGCCAGGCAGTGCAAGGTGGTGCAGGGCGGTACGATGCGGTGCAAGGTGAGTGCAGCGGGCACGCACCTTTGACGTACTCCTTGACCTGATCAGCGGTGTCTCGCTCAGGGTCCACTGAGATGAACACCGGCACCACCTGCACTCCCACCTGCTTCTCTGCACTCACACACAGGGAGAGTGGGGGTGGGTAAGGGGACAGTGGCGGATGGAGAGTGCATGGGGCAGCAAGGGGTTCCTTGGGACTGTGCATGGAGAGAAGGAGATTAAAGAGGAAGATGTGGCATGTGCCTCATGCACACACTCTCAGGCGCGCGCTCCCCTCCCCTCCCCCTTTCACACGTACCCACGAGGTCGACAGCCTGGGCGATGTTGATGAGCTGGCTGGGGCAGATGTCCGGGCAGAAGGTGAACCCAAAGTACAGCAGCGCCCACCGCCCCTTAAGATCCGCCTCTGTGAACGCCTTTCCATTGCCGTCCACGAGCGTGAACGGGCCCCCTATGGCCGCCTTGCCCACCGGCTTCAACTCTCTCACAGCTGCCGAGGGGAAGGGGATGGGGCATGGGGGAGGGGGGTAAAAGGCCTTGTATGGCCGCCTACCCACTGGCTTCAAATGCCTCCGAGGGGAGAGTTGAGGTTATGAGAGCACAGGACAGAAAGCAGGTAGCTTGCTTTCTCTCCTGTAATGGGAGCACAACTCTTCACAGGAAAAAGCAGAGGGAGAGTAGCGACGGATCCGAGAGACACAATGTGGGCAGAGGGCAGCCGTGGTGGGACAGGCACATGCGGTCTAGGCCCTGTGTGTCTTTACCCTTCACGACTTCTGAGGCGCCTCAACTGCAATACGGACATGCCTGGCCTCCGCCCTTCACTTGACTTTCTCCCGGGTTCACCCAAACTTACCAAAACGAATCACCCGCTCTCACCTTCACCAGCAGCACAACACACACCCACGCGCACCTTCCAGTCGCTTGCGCTTCTCGCTCTCAAAGTACGTCAGCAGTGCGCCTCCCGTCAGCAGCAGCAGCGCCAGACTCGCCCACGTCACTGGCTACCGGGGGGGGGAAGGGGGAAAAGGAGGGGGGGTGAATGAAGGGCGGAACATGAGGCATGGCACGGTGCACGAGTGGCGGTGGCAGCAGTGACAAGCGCGCAAAGGGGCAGAGTGGAAGGGGCAGAGTGGAAGGGGCAGAGTGGAAGGGGCAGAGTGGAAGGGGCAGAGTGGAAGGGGCAGAGTGGAAGGGGCAGAGTGGAAGGGGAGTGCAGCCATGTGGGTGGCAGCCACTACTCACCCCTCGCCTGCCATGTGGGTGGCAGCCACTACTCACCCCTCGCCTGCCTCTGCTGCCACTACTGCCGTCACTGCTGCTGCCGCCGCTGCTGTTGCTCCCACTGTGCTCGCCCCCGTCGCTGCTCTCCTGCTCGCCCTTGCCTCCCTCGTCCCCGCCTTGCCTCCCCTTCCCCTCCCCCTCCCTCTTCCCCCCCACTTCCCCCTCCCCCTCCCCCTCCCCCTCCCCCTTCCCCACCACTTCCCCCTCCCCCTCCCCCTCCGCCCTGCTTCTGACCGCTTCCCCCTCGGACCGCCCAGAGAGTGGCCGCGCAGAAGTGAGTTGAGGGATGACGACTTGCACAGCGCGCACGTGGTGCGGGACGACCTGCCGGCTAGCTGGTAGCGCCTGACGGTCAGGCATCGCCTGGCCGGCAACTGCCGTCGGAAACACGTTTGCGGATGAAATGCTTAGTCTCCTATTCTTCAACAGGGCGATGTCGTATTCTGCCGGTGAGTGATCTTGTAACGAGGATACTGCCACTGTCGAGGCGAGGGGTGCGTGGGGCGGGGGGAATGGCGGGGAAACGGGGGGCTTGGGAGAGAGGAAAGGGATACCGTGCACTGGGTGATCGTGTGCGCGGTCCAGCGAGGTGGCGAACGGTTGTGATCGGTCCAGTGTTGGTCTGCAAAGGATCGATCGCTGGGCGATCAGCTGCGACTGCAGCAGCATCGCCTGCCATCGCACATGGCGTCTCGCCGACGCCGCGGCGAGGGACATGGGCGCGACGGAAGCGAGCGGCACGATGGGAGCGAGCGGCGCGACGGAAGCTACTGGCGCGATGGGAGCACGCGTCGCGATCGAGAGGGGCGAAAGTGGTGGAGACGGGATGTGCGGAATGGGCGAAGGAATGATGGGCGACGCAACGCACACGACAGCGCGCGATCGGGCAGACGGAAAAGGGGCACAGCGGAGTGAGGGAGCGAATAATGAAGGACAGGATTTTAGAAGCTCGGGTCGGATGGTAGGGGCGAGCGGATCTCGGATCTGACGTGGCACTGGAAAGCCTTCTTTCGGGAGAAGCTTCTTGCAAGCGGCGCGCGAGGGAGAGCGCAGAATGCAGTTTTATTCTCGGTAAAAACGCATTCGCCTCTGGCCAATATACGGCTGGTAACTCGTATACATAAATAGAATGAATCACTTGAATACATGAACGCTCCATCAAAGCACCATTTCACATTCCTGAATCTGGTCCAAGGCTCCGTAAAGCCCATTGTACGGGCCTGGAGCCGTCATCTAGCCTACGCTTTGGGTGAAGGGCCTGGAGGTGCCTGCGATACATCACGGCAGCAGCACATACGACGACACGTCCAAGATCTGGCTCTGTCGGCCTGCACAGAATGGGGCACAGCTGAGGGAGGGAGTAGGGGCGGGCTTTTGAATGGAATGGTGTGGGGATGGGATCAATTTACGTGGAGCAATGGTGCCATGGCGCAGGGATGTAGCGATGCAGTGGTGCAGAGCAGAGCAATGACAGGAAGTGAGGGCAGAGTTGAGGAGAGGGTTACTGGAGGAGAGGGTAGAGTGCAAGGCATTCTGTGCGTGCTTGGGCTGTGGGCTCACATGTCTTACCAGCAGCACGTGGAGGAAGGTGCAAACGAGACAGTAGAGGCGGGGCCAGGCAAAGTGGCAGGGGGGGGGAGGGTGGGGAGAAGGGGTGCATGGGGAGGGTGGGGAGAAGGGGTGCATGGGGAGGGTGGGGAGAAGGGGTGCATGGGGAGGGTGGGGAGAAGGGGTGCATGGGGAGGGTGGGGAGAAGGGGTGCATGGGGAGGGTGGGGAGAAGGAGTGCATGAGGAGGTGGTGCAGTGGTGGGCGGGGGTGCTGCCAGCCGTTGCGGTCGAGGGGAGGTGGGAGGAGGAGGAGTGGGAGGGGGTTATAGGGGAGGAGGAGCAGGCACAGGAGCAGAAGCATCAGACGCAGGGGATGGAGGAGGAGATTCAGCAGGGGGAGGTGCGGCAGGAGAGGGGGGGGATGCAGACGGGGCCGAAGATTCCCCTGGAGCTGCTGCTTCCTGTCTGTCAGCGAGCAGCAGAGCGGCCTTGAGGCAGAGGCGGCAGGGCAGGGTGAGGATGGAGAGGGCCGCGGCGTGCTTGAGGTTGCCACTGCTGTTGCAGATGCGCCATGCGTGGTAGTCCAGGTATTGCGCTGTGAGAGAAGGGGGCAGGAGGATGGGGCGGACATGGCAAGAGGGAAGAGGTGTGTAAGTGGGGGAGGGGAACCCTCAAAAGACACGGTTGGTGAGGACATGGAGGGAGAGCAAGGGAGGGCGAGGCGAAGAGAGGCAAGAATGACTGAGAGCGAGGGGGAGGGGGAGAGTGGGAGTGGAAGAGAAGTGCGTACTGGCGTTGGCGTCGAGCTGGTTGATGAGCACCCCCACTTCCGTCTTGTTGGGAAAGGCCAGCACGTCTAAGAGCGACCCAGGCGGTGTGTATGGAGGCGACTCCAAACAAACCGGGAGAGGGAGCACAGGGCTTACTGGCGTTTGCATCGAGCTGGTTGATGAGCACCCCCACGTCCGTCTTGTTGGGAAAGGCGCGCATGTCTATCAACGACCCCGGCGGTGCCAGGTGTGCCACGTCCGGGGCTCCGTAGTACACCGGTACTGTGCCTGGGGGCATGGGCGACAAGGGTGGTGCCTGGGGGCATGGGCGACAAGGGTGGTGCCTGGGGGCATGGGCGACAAGGGTGGTGCCTGGGAGCATGGGCGACAAGGGTGGTGCCTGGGGGCATGGGCGACAAGGGTGGTGCCTGGGGGCATGGGCGACAAGGGTGGTGCCTGGGGGCATGGGCGACAAGGGTGGTGCCTGGGGGCATGGGCGACAAGGGTGGTGCCTGGGAGCATGGGCGACAAGGGTGGTGCCTGGGGGCATGGGCGACAAGGGTGGTGCCTGGGGGCATGGGCGACAAGGGTGGTGCCTGGGGGCATGGGCGACAAGGGTGGTGCCTGGGGGCATGGGCGACAAGGGTGGTGCCTGGGAGCATGGGCGACAAGGGTGGTGCCTGGGGGCATGGGCGACAAGGGTGGTGCCTGGGGGCATGGGCGACAAGGGTGGTGCCTGGGGGCATGGGCGACAAGGGTGGTGCCTGGGGGCATGGGCGACAAGGGTGGTGCCTGGGGGCATGGGCGACAAGGGTGGTGCCTGGGGGCATGGGCGACAAGGGTGGTGCCTGGGGGCATGGGCGACAGGGTGGTGCCTGGGGGCATGGGCGACAAGGGTGGTGCCTGGGAGCATGGGCGACAAGGGTGGTGCCTGGGGGCATGGGTGACAAGGGTGGTGCCTGGGGGCATGGGCGACAAGGGTGGTGCCTGGGGGCATGGGCGACAAGGGTGGTGCCTGGGGGCATGGGCGACAAGGGTGGTGCCTGGGGGCATGGGCGACAAGGGTGGTGCCTGGGGGCATGGGCGACAAGGGTGGTGCCTGGGGGCATGGGCGACAGGGTGGTGCCTGGGGGCATGGGCGACAAGGGTGGTGCCTGGGAGCATGGGCGACAAGGGTGGTGCCTGGGGGCATGGGCGACAAGGGTGGTGCCTGGGGGCATGGGCGACAAGGGTGGTGCCTGGGGGCATGGGCGACAAGGGTGGTGCCTGGGGGCATGGGCGACAAGGGTGGTGCCTGGGGGCATGGGCGACAAGGGTGGTGCCTGGGGGCATGGGCGACAAGGGTGGTGCCTGGGGGCATGGGCGACAGGGTGGTGCCTGGGGGCATGGGCGACAAGGGTGGTGCCTGGGAGCATGGGCGACAAGGGTGGTGCCTGGGGGCATGGGCGACAAGGGTGGTGCCTGGGGGCATGGGCGACAAGGGTGGTGCCTGGGAGCATGGGCGACAAGGGTGGTGCCTGGGGGCATGGGCGACAAGGGTGGTGCCTGGGGGCATGGGCGACAAGGGTGGTGCCTGGGGGCATGGGCGACAAGGGTGGTGCCGAGCCGACAGCCCCACTTTCAATTGCTCTACCCTCAACGTGAACTCAAATGACGCCCGCTTTGCCAGGTGCTCCCTATACCGGAGCATACATAGTGCACCGGTACCGTGCCTGGAGATATGGGAGGCAAGGGCGGTGCAGTGAGGTGCAGAGTGGCGACTGCGGAAGGGTGGTGCTGACAGAAGTGTATTGTTGGGGAACAAGCAGAGACAGGGAGTGATTAGGGGGCAAAACGGATGAGAGCGGAAGAAGGCGGGGCAGAAGGGGGGAAGAGGGGACAAAAAGGGGGAAAGTGGGGGACAGGGTAGGAGGAGGGGAGGGGAGAGGGGGTTGGCGAGGGGGAAGGCAGGGCAGCGACTGACCGGCATCGAAGGGAATAAAGAGCTTCTCAGTGGCGTAGCTCTCCCGCTCGCTGTTCTCCACGGCGATGGCAAACTTGTACCTCGACTCCACACAGTGTGTGCGCGCTGTCCACTTGTCCAGAGGCGTGCTGCAGGGCGCGTGAGGATGGGGTGGAGGAAGAGTGGGGTGTCGGGTGGGGAGGGCCGGAGAGGAGGGGACGAGGGGCAACACAATGACAGGAGAGGTGAACGTTGACTTGCCAGAATCCACGCCTGCCGCCCACGTGGTGTGCTGGCGCATGGGAAGTGCGAGGAGCACACATGACTTACTTGAAATGACCCTGTGTTGGTGGTCATTTTAACCTACGTAGGTGGTGCGCGCTGTCCTACCGGCACGTGGGGTGGGCGATGAGTTCGGAGATGCGGTGCATGTTGAGCTGGCAGTGGCTGAACGAGTGGTGGCGCACGCACCACATGAGGTGGCTTGTAAACTCGACTCATGAGTCACGTTGCTGCCCTACTGGGAGGTGGTGAGAGCAAGGAGCTGTGAGAAGCCCACACGGTGCAGCTGTGGCCTACCAGCAGGTGGGGTGAGCAATGAGTTCGGAGATGCGGTGCATGTTGAACTGGCAGCGCCCGAACGAGTGGTGGCGCACCACGCGCAGAATGTCCTTCACCATCGCCTCCCTCCAGTGCACAGAACAGTGCGACCCCGCACGGTACAGCGGCACTCCCTGCATGGCACGGTGAAGAGGGGGTTGGATAGCGACAGTGGGGGACAAAAATCGGCAAGGGAGAACGAGTGGTGGCGCACCACCCGCAGAATGTCCGCACCCTACGCGCTTGCTGCGACCCTGCACGGTACAGCGGCACACCCTGCATGGTACCGCATGAGAGGGGTTCGGGGGAAAGATAGGGACAATGGCAGCACTGAATGCACACTGGCAGATCTGCAAGCGCGTGCACGTATATAGACAGTGGCGTGCGGAGTGGCTTGTTCCATGCTCACTCACAGCGAGTTTGATGTTGGAGACGAGGTCTTTCCGCGCCTCGTCATCGTTCATGCCCACATAGGTGATCTGCACGTCGCTGTCGCGGTGGTACCCCACCAGCACGTCCCACTGCGCGCGCTGCTCCGGGGGCACCCACGGGGAGAAGATCTCGCGGTCGGGCACTGTGGCGCCCGTGGGGGCTGCCTCGGGGTCCAGCAGGGCCAGTAGCGGCCGCTCGTGGGGAGGCCGTGTGGTCAGCGCATCCATGGCTGGAGGGGGAGGGCGGGGCGAAGGAGGGCAAGGAAAGGGGGGGAATTGGGTGGGGGGGCAGCGTGGTGAGTGCATCCGTGCCCCCCTGCCAAGTGGTGTGGTGTGACGTGGCGTGGTGTGAACAAGGCACACTCACCCCGTTGTTCGGCCTCCTTGAGAGGGCCGTACTGGCGCACAAAGAGCAGCACGTCGGGGCGAGGCACCACCTGCTCCTCCCAGGAGAACTGCCAGGGGCGCGCAAGAGAGGGAGAAAGAGGAGCGGAGGAAGCTGGGAGCTTGTGTGAGAGTGATGCAGTGAGCCGTGCAACCAGGGGTTAGGGCTCGACTGTGAGAGGACCAGGCACTCGCCGCAATGCACTCACGCCCCTCACAGCCCTCACGCCCCTCACAGCCCTCACGCCGCTCACAGCCCTCACGCCCCTCACAGCACAGCAACACACTCATGATGCCTCTCACAGCAGCACACGCATGTCGCCACTCACCGTGCACGTGAGGCCGCAGTGCGCGCACGTGTGAGAGCCCTCCAGCCCCAGGCGGTTGCCAAAGCGCTGCCCGAACCACACGAAGGGCGGCTGCACGCGCACGCTCACATGCCGCTGCTGTATCCGCGGACACTCGGGCAGCGACAGCGGCTGCATGAATGGGGCGATGGGGGCGGAGGGAGGAGGGGATGGGTGTGAGCGAGAAAGGAGGGGGAGGATGGAGCGGGTGGTGATGCGCCCGTGCAATCATGGAGCAATGTGGTGATGCAGTGGGGGGGGAATGAAGCCTATGGGGGTTTGTACCGACCTGGAGCGAGGGGTTGGGAGGCCAGGAGGCGGGGTCGTCGTCTTGCAGCAAGTCCACGTGGAGGTGCGACGAGAAGCGCTCACGAAAACGATCACAGCCGCCGCCAGCCCGCCACTTCCTGTTAAGACACGTGGGGGTGGTTGGAATGGGGGAAGCGCGCATCAGTCCAGCTACGACGACACCGCATGTCCGTGAGAGCAACACCACGTCTCTAGCTCAAGCGCATTGCGGAAACCTTAATATGACACGCGTGAATCCGCGACCGCAACTCACAGCAACTGTAAGCGGCTTCAGGCCAAGCGCGTGCAGCAGCAGCATGAATCAGCGGACTCACTCGATCTCGAGCGTCATGTTGAAGAATCCCTCCTTCCACGTCTCGTTGAGACTAAAGTCGAAGCTCGCGTTAAATGCGGCCTCTTCGTCTTCCAATCGCCGCGCTCGACGGCCTCCGTACCGCCCCTCGACATCCTCTTGCCCGTATTCAACGCCTGACCCGCCGCCCCGAGCAGGCGATGCTCGCCGCTCCGCCAGGCGGAGTTGCGGGGAGAAGGAGAGGACTGCGACGGCGACCGCGATAAGGTATGCGACGGCGAGCAGTACGCGCGACAATATAAGGCGGGAATTTGAACCGGATATGGCAGGATTGTTTGCACATTGAGTCATGCTGACGCGGTCAACGGCACCTAGATGGCTTTCGCACCAGCGGACTCGACCGCAGTGTGGAAGTTGATATGTGGGAATTGAATCTCTCCCATGCGACCAGTGGGCAGGCACTGAAGGGCCGTTCTGCGGGTTTGTCCCCTCCCCGCCCTCCAGACATTTCAACCTGGAACTTAGGACACCCATTTCGTCCCGTGACGAAGGCCACCACAACACAACCTGTCCGGTAACAGATGTCGCCAACTCGTAGCTCTCTCGGAATGGCTTTCGCTGGTCTTTTTGGGCACCAGCCATTCCCCCTTCATCTCTGCTTCGACCAAATCTTTCTAGAAGCTCAATTCTCGATTCAGTTCAACCTGCTGATTCAGTTCAAAAGGCCAATTCCGCCATGGCTTCCCAAGTTTTTTTTCGCCCGAATGTCGCAGCTGTTTCCCCTAGCGGTTCGCTCTCCCTAACGACTCGTCGTTCCATCCACAGTCAGAATCTTAGCAGTTCGTTCTGCCGTTTCCCGGCTCTTCCTGCGCGTTCGCCGGTAGTGACCTCTACCCGACCACTATCTGCTCGCGCACAGATTGCAGTCTCGTCCTCTGGTCCTTCTTCGGGGCCTTTCCAGCGTGGAGTAGTTTCGTCCGACTCAACGCGTCGCGATTGGTCCGTTCGCGCTGCTGACTACGTGTCACCGGGCTACGAGTATGAGCAGGAGATTGATCCCCAGGAGGCCGCGAGGCGTGAGCAGGTGAGCGGAGTGGATTCCGTGCTCCGTTTTTATTGGCTCCTGTTAAATCGTCCGCATACTTATTCCATGGCGTTTATTATTTTACTCGTTGGCTTTGTGAATCTATGCTACTTTTTACTACTTCCAAACCTATTACGGCGTCCCCAGTTTCGTAATTCAACCACTCCCATCTTCGATTGTACCTTCCCACTCACGATTCGCCACCAGGCTTCGAAGCGGGTGGAACGTACGGCCAAATACTTCCGCCAGTTGGGAATTATCGGATTCTGGGGCCAGCTGGTCTGCTCTGTTGTCGCCTCCGTGATCCTCACCTTTTCCATTGTCATCTCTGGTCGGCCTACAGCTCCAGTTTCCACGTATCTCACGTCGGCTGGAATCGTGGCCGCATTTCTCTCTGTCTTCTGGTCATTTGGGTACCTCAGGCTGGCCGATCGGCTGCGCAATGCCATTGAGAACCCCATGAAGGTGGGTGATTTAGAGTTCCTGAGTTCCTTGCTCTCATCCTTTGATGGTGCAATGCCAGCTTATGCCTGAGCGCCCCTCCTCCATGGTGGTAACTATATAGAACCCGCCCTGCCTTGCCGACAGACTGCTCTTAGCTCAGTAGGTTTCAAGGCCGTTTCATTTGTCTTACTCATCCATTCATATGCATAATCACATTTGCAGGCCCCTCCTCGCTCTTCAGTGGTGGCAAATCTCAAGAATGGCCTCATTATCAACTTGCTTGGCCTAGGAGCCACTCTCCTCGGCCTCCAGGCCACTGTTGGAGTGCTCGTTGCCAAAGCCCTTACTTCCTCCACTCCCATCTATGGTGCTGTCGGCCTCCCCACCGGCTACAACCCTGTTCTGGCCCTCGACGTCTTCCTTGTTCAGGTGCGTGCATGCTGATCCCCATGATTATGGCTAGCATCATCTGATTTTTATTTTTTTTTGCTGCTGGGTCACCTAGTTGATGGTGAAATGCTCAGAATCCTCAGGAGTCACAAATGAGCTTGGAAAGGGAAACAAATATAAGTATTATGTTTGCTACTTCCATTCTGGCCTCCTTGCAGGCGTCTGGCAACACTGCTCTTTCTCACTTTCTTGGACTAGTGCTGACTCTGGAGTTGCTGCGCACAACAACACTTACACAGCCTCCTCCTGAGAATGTCATCCCACAAGCGTCATGAGTCATGACCAGAGCTGTGGGGGGCAGATGTAGGCTGTACATTAGATGTGTAGTCTCGAGGGATGTGCTTTGTCAGGTGCACTCAGCACCAGTATTGAACACTTCGATGGCAGAACCTTTGTCAGAAGTTCGAGTGTCCCATTCCAACGCATGACAGAACCAGCTGTCATACTGGGCGTGTTTCCATTATAATCTGGTACATCTCCTCTTCTTCCTGTCATTACTCCCAATTGAAGCTGAAACCTGGACACTGCATTCCAAGCCGCGCACTTCCTTTAAGGGGATGCTCTCAGCATCGCGTCAGCCACTGCAGTTCTAAATGCAGATGAATGCTTGCCACAGTTGTGCCGTGCAGCATTTTCCAGAAATGGCTCAAGGGATGAGTGCCCCACGTTCATTCTGCAGTGTAAAGAATTTAGTGCAATGCAATGATTGAGATGACATGATTCAGCTGAAAGGCTGATTTGTGCTCCATACCTCACTCGGGGTTCTCCAAAAAGCTTAACCTCAACATTCCCAAATGGCTCATCTTCGTCAGCGGCTATTGTTATCTGTGCTGGTGGGTAGTGTCAGCCACTGCAACTTACAGGCTGCATGAACGAAAAGACAGTACTTTATTAATCTCACCTCAGCAGGCCACCAGATACCCCGATCTTTGGCCCAAACAAGTGAGCCCACTTTTAGTTCTTGTTGTTGAAATGCACCTGCAGGGGTCTGCCACAATAGATGTGGGTTGGAAAAAAGAAAGCCTTAAGAATGGATGCAAGAACACAGGCTCGAACATGTTCCGGCGTTTGTAAACTCACCATTTTTTACAGTTTCATTTATTGGTGCAGCAAGTAAGTACACAGGCTCGAACATGTTCTGGCGTTTGCTAACTCACCATTTTCGACAGTTTCCTTTTCTGGTGCAGGAATGGCCTTTGGCGCACATTCGCATGCTTCTGGCTTTCTGCCATAGAAAGCTCAGCCCTGCTTGTCATAACCCAAGCTCCATGAAGACGGGAGTCCTTCGCCTTAGCTGCAGTCCACAATTCATCCCAGCTGAACTTTCTCATGCTGTCAGATAGATCCACAGTCAAGTCAGCAATGCTAGCTCGGTCCCCTCCTTGAGAACGAATCCTGAAGGGGGAATGCGACTTCTGCAATGACACACATGAAAACTGGTTAAGCAATGACAACATAGGGAGTGGGTCAGAAGCATGCCCTTATGCACTTCCATCTTACCATGCAGTCCTTTGAACATATTCCGGCTATATGGGACTTCTTTACAGTCCGCATAACTCTCCCTACATGGACTGAAGGCTGCAACTTCGTGATGTCATTCCTGTGACTGCTGTTGACCCCCTGAACAGCAGCAGCAATGCATGAAGAGAAGATGCAATTCCCCTAACCAGAAATGCGGTAATACGCTTGAAATAGACATACCTTGAGAGACACCATTATCACTGTCCTACCGATCTTCGAGTTTGGCTTGACCTCGTTTGTGTCAATTTGCAAATGGAGAGATAACCTTAAAACCTGGTTTTCCAACGATACCCAGTCCACTGAAGCTGCTCCAGAAATCTGCTCATCAAAAGGGCTAGGAGGAGAAGCAGGCCCTTTAAATATTTCTTCTGCAATTTCTGCTGGTTCGGGTTTAATCTGTGGTGCCGTTGCCAAAACTGGTATTTTGCCGTCGCAGATACCGGTTTTCATGTCTGTTTCCTCTGCATGCACAGAAGTTTTTCCTTGTTTATCAACAATAAGCTGCTGTTCCAAGGACCTGGGCGCTTCCATCACTCCACATTTGCTCCTCTGCTCCATTATTCCAGCGCTGTTAGCCTTCTCCCGTAATTGAACAAGAGGCCCGCGCATGGCCTGCTCAGGTATACCAGAATCTCTTGTCAAGTGGACATTCCTGTCAGAACTTGCCAAATAACAAAAACGGTCGAATAAATGAGCCTCACCGAGCAATTTTGCTTCAAAGAGTCTCCACAACGCTCCATAGAGCGGTCGGGCCCAGGAAACGGATCGTCCATGGATGTGCCGGAATTTACAAGCTTAGGTCGTGGTGTGGAAATGACCATCATGTTGCCAGTATCCGAAGTTTCTGCTGCTTCTCGTTTGATAGGCCTTGAACTCGTCAGAGTGAGCACATTCCTCCAGTCCGACTTAAAAACGTTCTCGGCCAAGTCCACTGGCGGGCATTGCTCCATCTTGAGAAGCTTTGCCACAGCTTCAGCCACAAGGCTTTTCTCTGGCACAGAAGGAAGCCTGGATTCTAAACCCTTCAGTGTTGTCGTCCGAGGACTTCCAGGCTCAATTTGGCTCTCTGGCGCTTGGCTGCTCAAATCAACAGCAGCAACTCCAGTGTCCTTCATCTCGACTTTCAGAAGTTCGTTGACAGGACTATCCAGCCAGCCCACCGCCATTAGATCTTGCTTTACTTCATTGAGAGGTGGCATTCGTACCTTCGTTGACTCAACGGCTTTTGAAAGCTCACATAACGGGCGCCACAGCCGCATTCCAACCAGAGACGCCAAGACGTCCTGTCAATGATAGGAGGTTGTAAGACAAGAACAATAACATTGAAGTAAGGATGGCATGGACACAATCGTACCTTTCTCGACTTGGAGCTTCCATCAGCAAGGCCGTGGATGGCGAGCACCTGCTCAGCTGCAAATTAGCTCAAGGCAAATTGGACTGACAAAATTCAACAACGTATGTCAAAAGCTTCACCTTTTTCAAATCCCCTCGTCTGAATTTCAGCTCGTCCAGACCCGTGCATGCGAGCACCTTCCCGTCTTTGTCTTCTCGCACAAGGCTGCTGTAAATGTCCGCATACATTTCCAAACAAAGAGAAGACTCAACAGCTGCGGGTCGTGGTTCTTCTTTCTTGACAATTAAGCTCACTGGCTGGCTTAGTCCAACCCATCCATTGTTCTCCTCCACAGGTGTTGGCACTAGTTCGGGTTGACTTAAATATTGGATATAGGGGTCTGCTTGACTTTGCGAAAGCCCCTGGTCCTGGCTTTGGGAACAACCAGCACCAGGTTGCGAATCTAACTGTGAGTCTGTCACGTCTTGGCTGTTGTAAGGTTCACTCATTTGCGAAAAGGTCACGCTCTTTGTTTTCTGAGAAAGTTGAGATCTCCAAAACGACGACAAAGCGGGCTTCGGAGGCAAGCCAGAGCCTCCTGCCGGTCGGCTTGAGAGCGAGGCCATGTGATCTGCCCATGACCTTGGACGAAACTCCATTTGGAAAAGCCTGACTGAGAAGCTGCTTGGAGAATGTTGCGAGACTTGTGCTTGTTGGGGGTTCAAATGTGGAAGACAGCTGCCACTCCCGAACAGGTCTGTGCTGAGCTCGCAAATCGCTTCGGTTTCGTGGCTGACGCGTGACAGTGAGTGCTTTCGAAGAAATTCGTTACTGTATGTAAATCCATGAAGTCTATAAAATATATTACATGTTACATGCCCTTTTACAAAAGAAGAGGGCACAAAGTATCTGACACTAGAAATGCTGCTTTTGTATGGACAGAAAAAACAAATCGTGCAGTAACACTTTTGGCATGCATGCTAGCCAACATCTACCGCATTTTAAGCCGGAGCAGGGAGGCGGGCTTGTGGAGAAACAAACCTTGATTGAAAACTCATGGTTACCACATCCTGAGGGTTTACTTCCACGTCATGCCTGAATCAAAGAACCACATGGCAAAAATGGGTAGAACAGAATGGTCAGAAGGGCCCCACAAGCAGGAAGGGCACCAACCAAACCAGACATATGCACAGCAAAGGCGGGAGGTGGACACTGGAAAGGCAGCGAGAACAATGAGGATGGTACGCAAGGCACAATGGCTGTGTACTTACATAAAGACAAACTCTGGTATTGTTATTTGTTCTCGCGATACGTGTCTGAACAGCTCAAGCAATCTGCCCACATACTTCACTTTCTTGAACACCTGAATGCATAAAAGGAAAAGAAGAAAAAAATGTTTGAAGTCACATACGTGTCACAAACAAGCTTACACCATCCAACATTTCACATGCATGTTTGCATCGGATCATGCAGCGCACACAGAACAATATAGACTACCAATTTGTGCACGTCTTACCAGTGGGTCCACCAGCAGTTGCATGCCCCACACAGTTCCCTTGAGCCGCATGTCTGGATGCACTGCATACACCGTCTGACACAAACAACAGCCGGGAACACGTGAGCTTAAAGCTACTAACACACCAGCACTCAGACATGGCTTCGTGTGATCCCTCTGAGAAGACATATAAAGCAACCCACCAGTGACATGCCACACCGCCACAACCAACAGACTCAGAGTGCCCGAGAACTCACATGCAGGTTCGTTCTGAACTTGGGTCCGAGCACATTCAGGAGGCGCTTCATCCACCCATAATCGGCCATGCTGCATGGCGTAGGCAATTCCAGCAATGGGGATGGATGGATAGCCAATGGGACAATACATCTCCCATGGCATAGATGACATCAAAAAATTGCATTACACATTGGCGCATGTTCAGATGGGGAGATGGCAAATTTACAGAGTACACGTGTGCGCAAATAGAAAGGGGCACTGTGTGGAAGAGGCATGGGTGGTCAGGCATCAGAAGCGTGGCAGGAGGAGGGTCACACGAGGAGCTGACAAGAAGGGACAACTCACGCTGGTAGGGTTGTGGCAGCATGGAAATAAACAATGGTGAAGGGGCGGTGAAGAATGGGCTCAAACTCCTGTTGGGGAAGACGCATGGTGTGGTGGAGGTACGTACATCGTACAAAGCAGAGATGAGCATGAGGAAAGAAAGCTGAAAAAGGTTCCTTGAACGAGAGAACCAAAGGCCACAAGCAACCACTGCAATTCACAAGCCATGTTGGGGCGCCTGCAGAGCGTGGGTTGGGACTGACCTTGACGGCATGGAAGATGAAGCTCTCGAGGTCCAGGCACCGCACGAGGAAGTGCGCCCCCACCACCACCATCACACTGCGCCCCGCTGAATCCGTGCCTCCGCGATACCTGTGTGCTCCGTGTGCGTGCGTGCACGAGAAAGAGTGAGAAAGGTACAAATAAGAAGAAGACGGACGGCACGTGTGGATGAGCTGGCAGTAGCAGCAGCCACAACCTACACTACAGCAAACAGGAGTGTGCTACTCACAGGACGAGGAGTTACTTTACTGTGCCACTCACAAACGGCATTGCCATGCCACTCACATGATGCGCATGTCCTGCACTTCAGTGAGGTCCAGCTTCTCAGCGCGCGCCAGGTACCGCCCGTGCAGCGCCAGCTGCTCGCCAGCAGTCAGCAGCGACACCACAGTGTCCCCCAGGTCGAGCCCCAGGCAGCGCGCCCACAGCCAGATCCATCCCGTCTGTGCCGACGCCACGGCGTGCTCGCGCTGCTCCACACGGCGCTGGTCGGGGTCCTTGGCCATGCTGATGAAGGCTGGGTCCAGCAGCGAGTCATCGAACGCGGATGACGAGAGTGTCAGCTGCCCTGGTGGCTGTGCTGGGATGAGCGCACTTGATGTGGACGCGCTGGGGGTTGGGAAGAGGGGAGGGAGAAAGGGGAGCAAGGAAGATGTGCAGAGGAGCGAGCAGATGGCACAGGAAGACGAGTAGGTGTTGTGAGTTTCAGCTGGCTTTCACAGTTTTCTATGCGTTTTGGTGCTGGCGCAGACTGCTGTACTTCCGCGCACCCGTTTGCAGCGGTGGAGGCGGGGGGCAGGCCGGGCATCTTGGAGATGCGGATCATGCGCTCTGCGATCACTATCTCGCCATTCTCATCGCCCACGTCCGCCGGCAGCAGCGCCTGCGCTGCCATCTCCTCACTGCTGTCCCGCGGGAAGTAGAGCGGTAGCAGCCTGCGCAGGGCGAGCGAGGGGCAGTGGGGAGAGCATGGAGGAGTGAGCGAGGGAGAAAGAGAGGGAGTGGGAGTGGGAGTGGGAGAGGGAGAGGGAGAGGGAGAGGAGGTGGGAGAGGGAGTGGGAGAGGAGGTGGGAGAGGGAGTGGGAGAGAGAATGGGAGTGGGAGTGGGATTGGCAGTGGAAGAGGAATGGAAGCACATCAAGACTGTGGGGCGAGAAGCAAGTACGTACAGTGAGAGGGGGATAAGGTGATTGGCAACACAGGAAAAGCAAGATAGGAGTGTGGGGTAAAAGGGGAGGCGAGGGTAGGAGAGCATGAGTGCATGTGGGGTAAAGGAGCGCAGAGGCATGCACCGTTTGTAGATGAGGTGGTCGTCGTCCGTCTGGATGCAGAACACCACCGCCGCCATGCCCCGCCCGTGCTTCTCCAAGAACCGCCTCACCGTGCCTGTGGGGCATGGGGGGCCCAATGGGGCACATGGGGCCAGGGATGGGCAGGACAGGGTAGGTGGGCAGGCAGAGGAGGAAGAGGCGCTCGAGGGTGTAAGGTGGCAGTACGGTGAGAACAAGTTAACGCTCTGAAATGAGGGGATGATGTTAGGAACCGGTGCTCTGACACAGCTACAGATGTGTAAAGGAGGAAGCTTGCAGCAAGGGGCACTCAAGGGACGGTACAGCATTGTGACGTTACTAGTCGAATAAAAAATCGGTACGGTGGGGACGGGGAGTGGCTTACGGATGGCGACGTGAGCAGCGGGCTCCCTGGGATACCCCTTCGCCTCTGAGTAGATGGGCAACAGCGCTATGCTGCCATGAGAGGATTGTGACAAGAAGGAGCGGGAGCCAAGTGTGGGGGGAACACCGTAGGGAAGAAAGGTGGCCAGAAGGAGGGACGAGAACGGAGAAGCATGAGAAGCAGCACACATCTAGCCTCACCTCACCTCACTCACTTTGACTAACGCTTTTGCTTAAAGCGAATCTCATCACCCCTGTTCCTGACCTCCTTCTCCCTACCCTCCCGCCACTTCCCATCCAAACCCCCACCCATTTTCCTCTCTTCCCACATTCCCTTCGAATCCTCCCCCCCACTCCCCCTCCCCCTGCCCACCTGCGCAGTTCGTTCTCAAGCAGCAGCTCGAGGCAGATGCGGTAGCAGCGGCTGAGCGCGTTCTCCGCGGCCGTCTGGTACTTGTCCGTGTACCGCGGCCCCACCGTGTGGATCACGCGCCTGCCACATGCCGTGCACACACGCGCGGAACGGACGTGGGGGCGGTGAGGTGGGCGGTAGAGCGGGGTCAGGGCGTGAGGGGGATAGCGGGGTGAGGGAAATGAAGGGGATGAGGCGGGTGAGGGAATGCGAGGAGAGGTTACGGCGTGGCGGAGAGTGGTAGAGAGGGGTTCACCTGGCGGGCAGCTCGTACGCGCCCGTCATCTTCGCCTCGCCTGTTCTGCATCCCCCCTGCACGCGTTGCGCACAGCACGGCACGCACACACACGGACATGCGCGTGAGCGATCAGATTCGCACGTGCAGCGACGCAATGCCTTTACCGCCAACCCCCGTGCCTCTCCCAACACTTCCTCGTGCACTGCAACTAGCCACATATCCCCTCGGCCCCACGCACTCCTGCAAACAAATCCCGACACTGACAGCCCCGACACGCATAGCAGCATCAGCAGCAGCAGGGAAGGAACGGACGGGGCGCGGCGGGCACGGACCAGCGTGGCGCATTCCTCGGCGAGGCCGGGGCCGGCTTCGTCGTGCAGGCCGGGCGAGGAGAGCGCGGGGTCGAGGCTCTCGCTCGTCGAGTTCACCACAGCGTCCACCTCCAGCGCCCACGGCGCGCCGCGCCACACGTACACCTTCGCGTTCAGCTCCGCGTTCACCGGGAACTTCGGCGCGCCTCCGGATCCGCGGCCACGGCCGCGGAGTTCCAGGCCGTGCGCCGAGAGCGGGTCGTCGAACCCGCCTGGGTCATCGTCGCCCGCCGAGCTCGTCGAAGCGATCGCCGTCGCGTAGCTTGGCGCGCCTGCTGCGAATCCCGCGCCCGACGCACCGGGATCTCCGTCTAATGCGGTGACTCCTAGTCCAGGCGGCTCGAGCCCCATGAGGTCCGCCGCGATCGCGATGTCGCCCAGCGCCGCGCCTCCGAGCGCCGCCGCGCCGAGCTCCTGCTCCGTCCATCGCGGTATCTGGTCGAGCCGCACCACGCCCGGCGCTGCGGCCTTGGGGTACATCATCCTGCGACCCACGATCGCACGGTCGCTGGTCCCTGTTGAGCGACGCGCACAGTGCGACGGTGAGGAAAGGAGTTTGTGACTAGGAAGCAACAACGCTGAGCATTCTTACTGCAAGAAACTACAGACGCTTATCGGAAAAATAAGTCCGCTATCGCGGTCATCAGTAAGAATCTTCCCCAACATCAACTAGGTGCTATCAGAAATGCTGTCGCTAATGACCTGCGTGCTAGTTTCCCTAGAAGTTGGATGGCTGTGTCTCGGTGAGCTTGGAAAAAAACCAGGACAAACGACGGCACGGCTGAATGTGGTTCAGAACGGTTATACGGACATCTGGGGAGTTGGGGTGTCAGGTTGCCAAGGATCAAGGTTCAAGGTTCCGCGAAGTGTGGAAGTCTCCCGCCGCTCCGTACATGCACACACATCCCCGCCGCTCGATACTGTCACGTCTGACAGGGAACATAATTTCGAGGGAAAATGTTGAATGAAAAGCAGCACCCTTGCGCCCAGCCTGCACAGAATTAATTTCTATTCAACGTGATGCTTCAAACGCGGACACTGGTCACGATCATTTTGGTCGTGAAGCGACACAGAGGCCCTGTTCTGTTGGCGCACAGGCCATTCGCAGCTGCTGTACAGGTACTGCGGGCAGCGTTTTCCTCGATAGAAAGGGAGGGCCTGAATCCTCGTCGAAGGGTTAATCGACAAAAATACTAACTTTTTTCTCCCGTGTGCCCAAAAAAATGTTGTTACACACTGCCCTGGCACTCTTCAAAACTCAAAATTTCGCAAATTGATGCACTCGATGTGGCAGTCTTACTGGTTAGCCGTTGGATTCTTTTTAGGGTGAGTATTCCACCAAAACAATACCCCAAAACGGGCGTTTGTATCTGCCCGTTATTTGTTGTGCGTCTCTTCATTCCCCCCTCGACGAGCGCATAGGGCTAGCACAGGCCATGCGGGAAAATTGCCAGTGAAACCAAGCTCGTGGAATTTTCTCAGCGCACAGAGAGTTATGCGTTCTTGCGCACGCATGAGTGATGCGCGCACAACTCCCGCACCAGAAGCTCGATGTGGGCTTTAAGCCTTGTTATGCGCATTCCGAAAATGTTCAGCGTTGGGGCTGAGCACCCCTTATGCGCCAACACAACAGGGCCAGAGATGATGGGATCATGGGATAGATCATAGAAGCAATGGTTAGTCTGAAGAGACTTCTAGTCGGCTTCAACTGATCGCAGCAATGGCAACCGTCGCTTCTCCTCTGCCAGTTCGGCCTCGTTCAGGCCACTAAGTCACATGACGACAATCAATAGCCTGATGTTACGAATAGTAATTACTGAAATACTATTGTGCACTCCTCACCGCAGCAAACGCAGCATGCACTATCGAGACTGAAGATGAAGGGGCGCAAGTGACGCGAAGGGTCACACGGTTACGAGAAGCATCTGGACCGTCGGGCAGACAGCATCAGGCAGCAGTAGTGGCGAGGATTCCGCCCGAACGGTTTCGTAACCACCAGGAGTCGCACGGTTGGTTTCTCGATGCAATAAGGGAATGTACCCCTGAGAGTACATGGCTAGCTAGGACGTTTCGAATTTGTACTGCATGTTTTTATTATCTCAAGCATTTACATTCACTCTGCTATTGAGGTCAAGGGCCCACCACCGCTAGACTAGAAGTGTGCGAACCTTCCCGAGGTGATCCTGAGAACGATCAACTTCTGATCGCAACACCTGATTCCCAGCTATCTTGCTTCGCGCAACTTGCGCGAAATTTCGGCCCCAAAAAAGTATGCTAAAAGAATGTTGTAACATAGTTCAAAGTATGTGAAACGGAATATACTTGTGACATTACGTGGATCAGTGCTGGGGGATAGTTGCTGCATACCTCGCTCATAGTTTTTGCACACCCACATCTTGCTACAAACACTCCTTTCCCCCACTAGGGGAGCCACGACAGGGGGTAACTTGTTTCTGTATAAAGTTGTGTAACATTTTTGTGCAGTAAGAAACACAATAGTTAATACTTTTTACTTGGAAATTGTAATATAGAATTTGTGACAATGAAACAACAACCGTTATTAAAACATCCACTCATTATAGGCAGCATTTTGTATTGTCATGTTTGTCTACCAGCAGCATTGCATTCTATTGCATGTGCTTTTTAGATTGTGAATCAGTTTTATACGATCAAAATTAGCTAACAGTCACACAGGCGCAATTCAAACACAAAATATCAGAGGTGCATCCCGGCCCTACAGGATAAAGCCTATAAATACTCCCCATCCTTGTGTCTTGCCCGCATGGGCAACCGATTGGCTTCCAAAAACTTGGTACATGCTCTTCCCTATTTACCGTAGTGCAGGGGGGGGCGGGGAGCCTCAAGCATCAGAGGAGCATCATAGCAGTAGAATGTGCCCATCACTGCCTGCCTTCCCCTCTGCTTCCACATCCCCCAGCACTTCCTCCCACTCTGCTCCCACATCTCCCTCATTGGTACCCCCCCGTCTCATGTCCCCCATCGCTGCCGGCCCCATTGCTCCCTCATCCTCCTGTCATGCATCCCTTACTGCTCCCCCCTCCCCCCGTTGATGCCTCCACTTTAACTGTCAGATCCTCCCAATGCTGCCTCCCCAGCTACTGCCCCTTTCCCCCCAATGCTGCCTCCCCAGCTACTGCCCCTTTCCCCCCGATGCTGCCTCCCCAGCTACTGCCCCTTCACCCCCGATGCTGCCTCCCCCGATGCTCCCCCATTCCCCCCGTCGCTGCCTCCCTCGATGCTCCCGCTGTCTCATTGCCCGCGTTGATGCCTCATTCCCCTCATCACAGCTGATTGATTGAATAGAACCTGTCAACGAGGTCCAGATACAAGTCATCGAGCACATGATGATGAGCGAAAGGGTGGTTTTGGGGGGGGAGGTGGAGGGGAAAGCAGAGGGAGGGGCGGGAGCGGAAAGGGAAGGTAAGGAAGGGAGGAGCGGAAGAAGGTGGGGGGGACAACAATGGCTGCTACTGCCAGTGATGCTGCTGCTGCTGCTGCCAGCGATGCAGCTGCTGCTACCGCTTCATCGCATTGCACCGCTCACCTGCACGTCCATGAGCACAATGTCGAAGGAGTGTGCCTGCAGGCCGCGGATGGCATCCTGGCTGTTGGCAGCGACGGTGCATTCATACCCCATGTGCGCTAGCATCGTGGTCTCTGATTCACCACGTTGTCCTCACTGCTCCCATGCCACGCACACAGGTTGCGGGGTCACAGGGGCAAGAGAGTGGGGGATGAGGGGAGAGAGCGGGAGGAAGAAGCAGAAAGGTGATTGGGAAGGAGTGAAAACACTGAATTGCACTGCCAGCTGCAGGCATGAAATTCGCGTTGCTAAGGCATTCTTCTACAGGCCTCGCCTCGCCATGCCCCACATGCCTCGCCATGCCACCTACATGCACCATGCCACACACCTCAACTATGGCCCACCACATCACGTCACGCCATGCCATCACATCATGTTCCGTGCCCCATCATGCCACCACATGCCACCACATGACATCCCATGCCACCCCACGCCACCCATGCCATCCCAACCCATGGCACATACGTGAGCAGTATCCGGAGGAGGCAAGGTTCGCAGGAGAAGGCGAGGAGGCGGTTGAGGGTGATCTGGTGCACTGGGCGGGGCAGAGCCGCCACCAAACTCCAATTAAGGGGGGCAGCTGGGAGGGTGAGGGGATGCGGGGTGGAGGGGGGAGAGGGGGAGAGGGGGGGAGAGAGAACGGAGAGCGATAACAAGATGGGAATGGGAGGGTGGCAGCACGACGAGGGATCTGGGTGGGGGAGCTACCTATGATTGCGAGTCAACAGAGGAGCGTTGAGAGATCCAGAGCAAGCGAGCACTGACCGCGAGCAGGATGACGCTGTCCTCGAAGCACGTGGTGACGCCGGATTCGCTCTGCCTATCTCCAGCCCGCCCGCCTCGTTCTTGCTCAGATCCAGATGGCCAGCAGCGCGTGTCGGCTGCCGGGTGTCCGATCTCCACGAAGCAGTGCTGCTCCTCTGACAGCGGCGTCGACAGCAGCAGCTGCGTCATGCCTGGGCAGTGAAGGGCAGATGAGGGTAGGAACACAGAATACGGCAAGCCAAAAGTCTACGAGGAGCGCGTGAGCGCGAGCCCGTGAGCATGCGTGCAAAAGTCCAAGTTGGGGTAAACTCAATCGTGAAGTGCTTATCTCACCGAGCACGCTGTTCATGAGGGTACGGTTCTCGTGGCTCATGGACACCAGGAATCGTGACTTGAGGCGGTTGGCGGACTCCGCCTCCGAGCGCGAATCGCGCAGCTCCGCCACCATCCGCTCCAGCACCAGCGACTGCTGTCATATGCGGCTGCTCGATTGCTCCAAGTCCTGCCGCCATGCGCATAGGTCAGAGAGATCGGTACAAGTGGGTGGCACCGTACCGCAGCTCTTCGTTTTGCGTCTTTTGGGATTCTTCCAGCAACGAAGGTGGATGTAGTAACTCGTGACATGACCGCCCCTCACCTTGATGCATCGCTGCATGTGCTCCCCGCAGACAGCAGCGCCTCCATTTCTCGCCGCAGCACCTGTTGTTGCGCTGCAGCTGCTCCGTGCGCTCCACGATGTGCTCCTCAGCGCTGCGTTGAGCGCGCGGATCTCGCCCTCCTTGCGCTTGATGTCGCTGATGTCCGCCGATACGCCGATCACCCTCACCAGCTGCCCCGACGGGTTCAGAATGAGCGTGTCCGTCACCTGCAAGGTGGCGCGCGCGGGGAGCAGACGGTGAGATGCAGCAGAGAGACGATTGTGTGGCGGCGGGTGGAGGGGGCGGGAAGACGGGTGGGTGCGGAGATACTTGGATATGGAGGGAATGTGGTATGAGAGGTAGCGCGCAGCAAGGCTCGGAAGAATAGCGCGCACTAGTGTGGTGAAGGGTAAGTCGCACCATGGCGGGGAAAGGCGAGCCGTCTCTGCGTCAATCCACACCTCCCCTTGCTGAGCGCGCCGAAACTGACGGTGCGGACGCACAAAATGGCAGTAAATCACCTAGCAAGCGATTAGTAAATCTCGCGGATGTGAGACAATCCAAAACTAATTTAATTCGCGCCTGTGGACGACCAGTCGATTTTGATGACGTAGACGTGCGGGCGGGTCGACGAGGAGGGGAGGGCGCTGCGCAACAGCGGCTGGCAGTACGAGGCGGCTTAGCGAACGGCAAGCGACACTAAAGCTGGCGGACAAGCGAGAACAAAAAAAAAAAACGGGGTAGCTTAGAGAACGACAAGCGCTGTTAAAACCCAGGGTCCACAGGTTTCAAAGGTAGGAAGGTTGGTTGGACTTAGTGACAAAACCAAAGGTAGGAAGCTTGGTTGGACTTAGTGACCCAACCAAAGGTAGGAAGGATGAGGCAACTTCCGGAAACTTGAGACTCCGGTTTTAAGGCTGGCGCACGAGCTAGAACATAGAAAACAAGGCTTGACGTCTACGTCGGAAGGGTTGCGTAGAGTTGTTTCTAGTGGTATAAGAAACATATGAAAGAACATTATATATTATACTAATGGAGAAGACATATTACAGAAAAATATAATTAAGTACATGTTTGTACACTTGTGCAGTATTAAAAGGCAACGATTCGGACAGTGATGATATTTTTTATTATAATAAACATTTTTTTAGCTCATACTATATTGCACCATCCAATTACTATAGTGGGTTCGTTGTTTTCAGCTGTAGTTTGATAACGTAGTTAAGCTTTCAAATTAGTATCATGCTCATGTTTCTACATATACACCTAAATGAATTATTGTCCATGCCAAGTTGTTTATTCTGCCCTAACAATACAATCACCTTAACAATGTGAATCGCATCTGCCCCATACATTACACACTATTCTAACGAGAAACAACTGTATTTTTTCCTTTCACACTTAACTCCAATTTGACGCTCCTTTCTTCTTGGTTCTTGGTTCTTGATTTTGGTTCTTGGTGAGTTCTTGGTTCTTGGTTCTTGTGACTACCTAGCTTTCCCGTTTTCTCCAATCCCAGTATCCTCTCCCTCCCATCCCGCCAGCGCCTCTCCCTCCTCCCAACCGCCGTCGCCTCTCCCTCCCATCCCGCCATGGCCTCTCCCTCCCGCCCCGTCATAGCCGCTCCCTTCCTCCTCGCCGTCGCCTCTCCCTCTCTTCCCGTCGTCGCCTCTGGTGGGTGCACGAGCGTGAGCGCGTGTTGCTGAACGACCTCGCGTTGTTTTCACCGTTGTCTCAGGTGCGTAGACGTTTCTCGGACCTTTTTACCTCCCTCCTTTGCTTAGGTTTTCTACTTTCTTCGTGAGTTCTCTATGCCAAGATTTCTTAGCATTACACTCCCATTGCTCTCCTCTTTGGTCGCCTAATGCGCTGGCGCCTAGCGCGCTGGTGCCTAACGCGCTGGCGCCTAGCGCGCTGGCGCCTAGCGTGCTGGCGTCTAACGCGCTGGCGCCTAGCGCGCTGGCGCCTAAGGCCCTGGCGCCTAAGGCGCTGGCGCCTAGCGCGCTGGCGCCTAGCGCGCTGGCGCCTAAGGCGCTGGCGCCTAGCGCGCTGGCGTCTAGCGCGCTGGCGCCTAGCGCGCTGGCGCCTAGCGCGCTGGCGCCTAGCGGCTGGCGCCTAACGCGCTGGCGCCTAACGCGCTGGCGCCTAGCGCGCTGGCGCGTATTGCGCTGGCGCCTAGCACGCTGGTGCCTATCGCGCTGGCGCCTAGCGCGCTGGCGTGTAACGCGCTGGCGCCTAGTGCGCTGGCGCCTAAAGCGCTGGCGCCTAAGGCGCTGGCGCCTTGTGCTCTGGCGTCTAACGCGCTGGCGCCTAGCGCGCTAGCGCCTAGCGCGCTGGCGCCTAGCGCGCTGGCGCCTAGCGGCTGGCGCCTAAGGCGCTGGCGCCTAGCACGCTCGCGCGTATGGCGCTGGCGCCTAGCGCGCTGGCGCCTATCGCACTGGCGCCTAGCGCGCTGGCGTGTAACGCGCTGGCGCCTAGCGCGCTGGCGCCTAGCGCGCTGGCGCCTATCGCGCTGGCGCCTAGCGCGCTGGCTTCTAAGGCGCTGGCGCCTAGCGCGCTGGCGCCTAGCGCGCTGGCGACTAGCGCGCTGGCGCCTAGCGCGCTGGCGCCTAATGCGCTGGCGATTAGCTCGCTGGCACCTTGCAGCGTGCCGCGCGCTGGTGGCTTGTGCGCTGCTTGTTGCGGCAGTGCGCTGGCGAATTCCTGCAGCGGCCTTGCACCGCTGCGTGCTGGCAAATTATTGCGCACGCCTTGCTCCAGTGAGCTCACGCCTTGCTCCAGTGAGCTCATGCCTTGCTGCAGTGAGCTCACGCGTTGCTGAAGTGAGCTCACGCGTTGCTGCAGTGAGCTCACGCCTTGCTGCAGTGAGCTCACGCGTTGCTACAGTGAGCTCACGCGTTGCTGCAGTGAGCTCACGCGTTGCTGCAGTGAGCTCACGCGTTGCTGCAGTGAGCTCACGCGTTGCTGCAGTGAGCTCACGCGTTGCTGCAGTGAGCTCACGCGTTGCTGCAGTGAGCTCACGCCTTGCTGCAGTGAGCTCACGCCTTGCTGCAGTGAGCTCACGCCTTGCTGCAGTGAGCTCACGCCTTGCTGCAGTGAGCTCACGCCTTGCTGCAGTGAGCTCACGCCTTGCTGCAGTGAGCTCACGCCTTGCTGCAGTGAGCTCACGCGTTGCTGCAGTGAGCTCACGCCTTGCTGCAGTGAGCTCACGCGTTGCTGCAGTGAGCTCACGCCTTGCTGCAGTGAGCTCACGCCTTGCTGTAGTGAGCTCACGCGTTGCTGCAGTGAGCTCACGCCTTGCTGCAGTGAGCTCGCGCCTTGCTGCAGTGAGCTCGCGCCTTGCTGAAGTGAGCTCACGCCTTGCTGCAGTGAGCTCACGCCTTGCTGCAGTGAGCTCACGCCTTGCTGCAGTGAGCTCACGCCTTGCTGCAGTGAGCTTGCGCCTTGCTCCAGTGAGCTCACGCCTTGCTGCAGTGAGCTCACGCCTTGCTGCAGTGAGCTCACGCCTTGCTACGGCAGCCCGCTTGCTCCTCTGCCGGTGCCTTGCTTGCTGCAACTCTCTGGCTCCTTGTAGCATGGTGATGCCCAGCTCGTTGCACCAATGCACCTTGCTCGCTGGAGCCTTGCTGCACACCAGCGTGGTGTGCGTGACCCCAGGGGATCTATGCTTCAAACCACGATTGTGAGTCGTAAAATTCGGTTTCCTTTTGTACTTATCATATTTCAGCCCATACTTGTTTTTCAAGTTCCATTTCACAATCAAGTGCGTGCTCGTAATTGAATACTTCACTCCGTTTTCCGACCACGATTCATTTTCTACTTGACCTGTTTGTTTTGCAAGGTGTGTGAGACGCGTCGTGGGGAGCACTGAGGGGAATTCGAGAGAGAAGACAATGTGGAAAAGGGTGGGAGGAGATTTTGATGGTAGAGGAAGGAAGGCGGAAAGGGGGAGGAAGTGGGGACAAGGTAGCAGTGATTGATAATAATTAACTTATTGCAACTCTTTGTCATGCTTGTCTGCTTTCAATCCTATTTGTTTATGCGTGTGTGTGCCGTGCGGGTGTGTTTGTGCGGGTGTGTGTTCATGTCTTCTCGTTATGTTTGTTTCACTGTGGGGTTGCGTGGTTTGTCGGTTACCGTATGTGGGTTGAACGTTTGTTATGTGTGTTTGCATTCGTGTTTGTGGGATGTGTGTTTCAAAGTGTGGTGTTAATACCCGTATTCTCCCGGATATAACCCCCTAGGGTATAGCTAAAAATTGTCAGAACATTATAGCTTACTTATTTGTGTAGGCTATAGTGGGGTATCCCATAGGGGGTACAACCCAATTAGGGTTTCATATTTGTACTCACTTCATTCATAGTTCATTCATTCACGTTTCTATTTTCACATGGAATCAGAGCAGGTCCCATCCTAGGGACTGTTTTCTAGGGCCCACCGAAGCGCGCCCCGAGGCGCGCGTTCTTTTTTTCTCGCGACCCTCCGTGTCGCCCTTCCCCTCGCAGCCCCGCCGCCCTTCTCTCGGCCCCGCCGCCCTTCAGTTGCGGCCCCGCCGCCCTCTAGTCGCGGCCCCGCCGCCTCCTCCTCGCGGCCCCGCCGCTTCCTCGTCGCGGCCCCGCCGCCTCCTAGAAGCGGCCCCGCCGCTTCCTCGTCGCGGCCCCGCCGCCTCCTCCTCACGGCCCCGCCGTTTCCTCGTCGCGGCCCCGCCGCCTCCTCGTCGCGGCCCCGCCGCTTCCTCGACGCGGCCCCGCCGCCTCCTCGTTGCGGCCCTGCCGCTTCCTCGACGCGGCCCCCGCCGTTTCCTACCAGCGGCCCACCAGCCGCCCTACCTGCGGCCCTACCGCCGCCCTACCTGCGGCTCTCTGCCGCCCTACCTGCGGCCCACCCGCCTCCCTACCTGCGGCCGTCCCGCCGCCCTACCTGCGGCCCACCCGCCGCCCTACCTGCAGCCGTCCGCCGCCCTACCTGCGGCCGTCCCGCCGCCCTACCTGCGGCCCACCCGCTGCCCTACCTGCGGCCGTCCGCCGCCCTACCTGCGGCCTGCCCGCCGCCCTACCTGCGGCCCACCCGCCGCCCTACCTGCGGCCCACCCGCCGCCCTACCTGCGGCCCACCCGCCGCCCTACCTGCGGCCCACCCGCCGCCCTACCTTCGCGGCCCAGCCGCCCTACCTACGCGGCCGAGCGGCAGCCGAGCCGCCTAGCAGCAGCCGAGCCGCCCAGGAGCCGCCGCGCCGCCGGGCAACCTTCCTGGAGCAGCCGAGCCGCTCAGCAGCAGCCGAGCCGCCCAGGAGCAGCCGAGCCGCCCAGGACCCGCCGAGCCGCCCAGCAGCAGCCGAGCCGCCCAGCAGCAGCCGAGCCGCCCGGGAGCCGAGCCGCCCAGCAGCCTAGCCGCCGAGTCGCCAGGCACCTTCCTGCCGAGCCGCCCGACCTGCCCTGCTCGGTGAGCACCGTTCCGCTGTCACTGCGTGCCCTTCCCCTACTGCTTGCACTGCTCCACTGTCGTCGTCATGGCTACACCCAGTGTCCTCGCTTTTGACGCTAAGGGTCGAGCCATTGACTTTGAGGTCTGGCTCGACGGCCTGCAGCTGTTTTTACAGTGCGATAGGGCGGACGGTCTGTCTCTCTTTGACCTCACCTCTGGCGCTGTCCCTGCCCCTGCTGCTGATGCTGACGCCACTGTTTGCTCTCAGTGGGCCACGCGCGATGCTGCTGCACGTCTTGCTGTGCGTCGCCACCTGCCTACCGCTGAGCGCGCGCACTTTAGCCAGTACAATAGTGCTCAGACCTTGTACGACGCTGTGGTTGCGCGCTACTCCTCCCCTGCCACTGCTGCACTGAGCCGCCTCTTGCTCCCCTTCCTCTTCCCTGACCTTGCCGCCTTTCCCACTGTCGCTGATCTCATCACGCACCTCCGCACTAGTGACACTCGCTACCGCGCTGCGCTTCCGGCTGACTTCTGCGCCAAGAACCCCCCCCCATGTACATCACTCTCTACTTCTTAGTCACTCGCCTCCCTGACTCCCTTCGTGTAGTCCGGGACCACTTCCTCGCGGTCTGTCCCACCACCCTCACAGTCGACAGCCTCGAGAAGGCCCTCCTTGCAGCAGAGAAGAGCATAGTCGCTGTAGGAGCCTCTCGAGGTGACCCCCGCGCCCCCATCTTTGAGGGGTGTTCTCCTTCCCCTCTCCTGCCCTCTGTCGCCTCTGCCGCTGCGGCCGACCTCGTTGGTCTTGAGTCGGTCGGTGCGGCGTCTGCCCCTAGCGGGAGACGCCGCTCTGGCAAGGGCAAGGGGGGCAAGGGAGCGGGTGGGGCCAGTGGGGGCGGTGGCGGTGGAGGTGGAGGCGGAGGAGGGAGTGGGGGTGGCGGTGGAGGTAGTAGCGGGGGTGGGGGTGCTAGTGGCGGCAGTGGAGGCGGGGGTGGCGGCGGCGGTGGCGGTGGTAGCGGAGGTGGCGGAGGTGGCGGCGGTGGAGGCGGAGGCGGGGGCGGTGGAGGCGGAGGCGGGGGTGGCGGAGGTGGAGGTGGTCGGAGTGGAGCTTCGCAGCGGAGCGGCACTGGGGGCGGTCAGCGCCAGCAGCAGCAGCAGCAGCAGCAGCGTTCTCGCGACGTCCCCACCCCTC